TTTTAAAGCTCTCTTGATGATATAAAATTCATCTTACACACAAACAACAAATATCCTCTATAAATTTGCATTTTTAAATTAAAAACATGTCTAGTCACTTCCTTCGTTTTCTTCAGGTAAGGTCTCTGACACTTTGTTTCTTGCTTTCCTTCCCCCATCGCGGTCCCGCGCCCCCAGCCAGCAACTTTGAAACCTCTATTTCAACATCCTTCCTCGTTGCAGCCTTTGTCGGCAAGTTCCTTTGGACACATTCTACAAAAACAAGCATTCTTATCCTTAAAGAATGAAATGAAGTGAAATGAAGGTATTGAAACCATTCAAAGGCCATAAGCCACCTTGTGCATTTTGAGCAGTATTAAATTGGAAATAAACTAATTCTGGTATGTTTTACCACAATATAGATGTTGTTTCCTGGTTTTACATAGCTTTTAACAATATTTCTGTGATATCGCTGCAGTCAGTTGTAAGCTGAGATCATCTTATCGGTGGTATCCAGTAAAGAATGTTTAAGGTAAGCAAATAACTTGCTTTACAGGAAGGTGATTTCTGTTTATATTATGCATCACAACACAATGCATGGGATCAAAACCACACAGCATGTAAAATATTCTCTCTTATTAATTTCTATACAAGCTAGTCAAGCATTTTCCTTCATTAAAGCAATACCCAAAGACACAATACAAAGATCTTGGATAATATATCTATTTTGAAGACACCACTTTGCAAATTTGTAAAATATCACTTACTATCAACAATACACATTCAGTATCTAGAGGCCCACAAATTTTTTTTCTTCCCCTTCAGCCACTTCATATTGTACATTCTTGCCAGTTCATTTGACATGGTTTCTTTCATCAAGCGGTCAACAGTTTCCCCTTACATCTGCCATACCCAAACATTGAGAGGAACCGCACCTTAAATAAAGCAGAACATAAACTTTTTTTAATGTTAATTTTAACACTACTAAGTGATGGGCTGCAAGTCAGCAAAATGACAAATATTGTTGTCAACTGGACCTCAAAAACATGATCTGCCAAGAAAACTGTTTGGATTGACAAATTAAAAGATCTTTTTCTCATATATTTACAGCCTAGGACAACACCTTAGTGAACTTGTGGCCTTTTATGTTTGTCCCCTCCACGAGTGTTATGGGGCACATTATCATTTTTTTTTTTATTACAAGAGTTTAATTCAATATCAACAGAATATTTTTTTGATAATATAATAACAGCTCAATTCCTGGATTTTGTGGGTACTTGTCATTTTCCTGGTATTTTGAAAGCTAATGCCAGCATTTTTGATTAATGATTGACTGTCCTTGTCCAATTAATAATTAAATGTTGAAAAACGAGGCCAACTGCCCATGTCTTGTGCTCATGGCTATTATAAGCATATATAAATAACATAACTGTGTCAATATTGGAATCAAAAATTAAAAACATGCCTGTTTTTTTAATTCTTGAAATTAATGGCAGAGCAAAGTGTTTGTCCACTGTGCAATATTTTCCAACATAAATATAGCAGAATGATTATACATTTATTCATCAAGTGCTCACCACAGACCATTATGTTATTTCGCTTTTTAGGCCAGTGGGATATGGAGTAATACTTTTTTCAGTTACTAATGGAGCAACATACATGACTAAACTATGCTTACCACAGATGAGAGCATTTTCTGATCTCCCAGAAGCTCATCGAATGCTTCTATCTGCTCAGGATAGACGAATTAGGGAATGAGATATCTTTCGGAAGTTCAGCCGCGGTTGGTCCATCTGCTGCTGACCTTAACAGCATTTTCGCTGCACCATCCTCTTAATTTCACGAATTCTTCTCTCGCATTGTCTCCAAGACTCGGAGAATCTGTGTAACAGCAGCTGAAAAAAAGGATTCATAATTCTAGGCCATATTTACTTTTAGAGCTATGTGAATTACAAATGAGCCATGTCACGACAAAACCAACATAATGCGTTTGCGACCAGCCTGCGCATCCATGCAGTCTGATCAGGATCCATGCTGTTCGCTTACAAACCCTATAACAAGTAGAGAAACTGATAGCGAACAGCATGGATCCTGATCAGATGCGCAGGCTGGTCTGATCCATGCTGGTCGCAAAACCATTATGTTGGTTTTGTCATGACCCGGCTCAAATGAAAAAAATCCAGTATTTTAAATTTTTCCCTTGGCTTTAACCAAGTAATTAACGCAAAATCTCAAAAGGATTGTTGAGTATGCAGGTCACAAAATGTGAAAATGATAAGAAATCATGAATTAAACTTAACATATTTTTTGAGGCCTAGGCATGTCATTTGGTGAAAAATAAACATTCTTGACTCTTCCAGGGACCGTAACTTTGGATAACAGTAGTAGGGTCAGGCAAGAATATGCGCAACAAAATTCACATCAATGATAAAGACTAAACAAGTAATCATCAATTTCTTTTGGATATTTTTTGAACTAGGGGCGTCACAAGGTGAAACTTTCTTTTTTTGGCTGTGTCACTCAATCCAGCTTGTTATAACATTTATTGACTTGTTTTGAGAATATAACATTTAATAAGTATGTACTTGTAATAATAAATATATTTATAGCTCCGAAGTTTATACTTACTGGGCCCAATAATCTGCCCACGGAAGGGTGTATCAGAAGCACCTTGTATTGGAGAAAAGCACTTTGCACATCACTGCTGGCCTCTCGCAATGCCTGTGCAGATAAGCGAGGCGGAGATGAAAGTAGGCTTTGTGACTCTTTGGGCGTTGTTGCTTGGTCAATAACTTGTGGTGGCCTACTCTCTGTGTCTGTCTCATTCTCATCAGTGCCACTAATCCGATTCATACAGCCTTTTTGATGGCCTAATTTACAATAAAATGAAAATACATTAATAAGTAGTAATTATAAAATACATATACATTAAGTGAGTTATTGCGCCAAGTGACAATATGATTATGACCCGTAATCGGCTGGCATGTACTAGTCTAGTGTTTACGTACCGAATTGTTGTGCCGCAATTTTGTCTACCAAGGATTTTTAGCACGAATGCATTTGTTTCCCCCGATAGATATTTCATGAACGGGAAGGGCTAAATACTTGGGGTCGGTCCCATTTGGAAGCTTAATACAAAACGTGAAAGTGATAAAAGATTTTTTAATTGTCTGGACAATTGTTTTCACAACGGCCCGGGAAGTGAATCCCTTGCTTGCAGGCTCAAATCTGGAGTTTCTGGCCTTCCTTTTAACTTAAAGTATGTTTTTAAAGGGGGGTTAAATTTACAATTTTTTTCGGTTTTTGACTTTTTAAAGATGAACACAGGTTTAATTATCTATCGGGTCATATTTTTTCTTCCTAGGTCCGATACTCGTCCCTGTGCAACAAAGGGCTTGGTTGGTTTACTTGGAAAAAAAAATACTTGAATTTGTAATAATAAGTATTTGCATTTAATAATTTAAAATGCTTATGAATGAAATATTGGTACAAAATGGAAGGGACTTCTAAGGCTAGGAGGGGTCATTGGATTTCAAATGATGGTGTCCCTTTAAAAAGGGATCTCTTAAAATTTAGTCTATATAGAAACAATATTATTAAAATGTTAGTGTCGACACCGGCACAGTTAAGTTATTCAACAATAACAACTATACACATCCATAGGTCAGCTAAAGTGCCTAAGTGGGCGTAAATTCTAGAAAATGTCGCAAATTAACCTGACAATAACTATCGAACGAAATTACATGGCAAAGGCAAAAAAAAAAAAATAAATGACGTTTACACTTACCTACACACACAATAAATCTGTAAGGATATAATATGAAAGGTCGTAATACGAAATCGTCGTTAAATGTTCCGAATTGAAATGAAATATTGTTTTCGTGTACAATTTTTACAATTTAACGTTTCAATACACAATTTGATTTTAAGCGGCAGCGGAAATCACATCTGCGCATGCTCGAAATTAATTTTTTCATCAAATGCTGATTTTTATAAATTATTTCTGAATTAATAGTCTAAAAACACATTTTTTATATTTAGATTATAAAAATTAAAACCAATATAAAAACTAAACAAATTAATTTCTCGCACCTGCTCAGGCATGCTAATATTTTATTGGGTTGCCCGAATGGGACCCATATGGGTCCCTCATGGCTTGTATATATGTTAATGCTACGATTTTTATAAAAGATAATAGCAATTTATGCCAAGGTGGTCACACTATAGCTCAAAGTAAACAAGTTCTAAAGAAATAAATAAACGAAAAATCGTTTTTCCTTATAGTGCTGTAATATGGGACCCATATGGGTCCAATATGGGCGTACCCAAATGGACTTGCCCATATTGGTCCCATATAGGTCCAATATGGGCATACCCATATGGGCTTGCCTAGATATAGCCCATATGGGTCCCATATATGCATGTTTGCTGGGATCTAATCCTTTCCAGCATTAATAACCATTTAAGGAAGGCTTATATCAGTTTTCTTATCATGATTTACCTTTATACTTTTATATTTATCTAATATCATCTAATAGTTGTACTTTTTTATTCTATCCTTTAAATGTTGCAGCTATATGCTGTATAACTTAAGAAAAAATATACATTCTACCTGATAGCAAATTATTATCCTTTCCCGTCAACCTGTATATAAAGGATTATAGACTGAGGATTATTGATTATAAGATATAACCATGTATTTATATTATCTCTGTGCAGATTCGGCAGATGAATGTTTATTCAAATATCAAGTTGGTAGAGCAACATTCACAGAAATCAGCAAAAGCAATTTTAAGTCATTCTAAACCGTATAGTATTTTTTTGTTCAGACCTAGTCATTAAAAACAACAGTGTAATTTCTCAATATCTGTTAATTATCGCATTAAATTGAACCTTCAATTGTATATTCTTTTCATAAAAAGTTTTTACTCAACGGAAGACATGCATAGAATACATAGTGGTATTCAACCCATATATTCAACGCAACTTCAGATTTAGTTTTAGCTGACCGTTTTGGTACTCTTACAAGCGGAGGTAAAAATACGCACATCCTGTCGTCTGCAGTTTTGTTTACTTTTGTTCCAGGCGCAGTTCTTTTATTAAATGGTATCATAATTATTCTCATTATCGCACATTTGTCGTTTTAAGATCGTCATGTTTTATTAAGCTCCCTTGTATCCATTGTCTTTATTGATATTTAATGAAACAAAGAGCCCATGAATGGAATTTATTCATAAAACTCCCAGTCCCCTTGCACAAACATGACAAACATGGACAAATCATGACTGTTTGTCAGACATTAGAATCTGGTAGCAGCTATCTTTAACATAGTGATTACTTCAACATTTATGTTTCTCTACAAAATCACTCAGATTACATCTAGGTTTTGTGTTATAGATAAGGCCGTAAGGGGCAGGGTTAGTTAGGCAACGTGATTTTGCTGCTGACAGATTCTAAAATAACATTATTTGCTCCAACTGTTATGAAAAAAAATAAAAGAAAAATTGGTATGGTGTTAGATTAGATACTAATAGATCTATATAAGTGTGGTCCTCTACTAGTTGAATGTAATCTAAAGTTGTGAACTGGTAGATATAGAGCTTTTGAAAATGATATGGCTGGATTTGTAGATGTATCCTCAATGTACTTTATACCGGGAGGTACTTTGTACCGGGAATGTCCAGATATTACAAACAATACTTACATAAAAAATTTCTTTTGTATGCAGGCCCGTCGTCACGATTTTGTGATTGGTGCGGCCAATTTGATTGGTTTTAGGTAGAATCTAGGGGGGTAGGGGGCATGCTCCCCCGGAAATTTTTTATTCTAGGATGCTCTCAGGGGCGTTTTCCCGTATATTTGGCACAGTTTACAGCTTGCCGCTAGTACATGTTATAGTAATATATCAACGATTTTTTACAGATTTAAGTGCGTCGTAAGTTTTAAGGGTGAAATTTAAGGTTTGCATGACGGACGGACAGGTGTACATAAAAGATGAATACATGTAATGGATATTTGGCAAATGAAAAATAAATAATAACTGATGTTATTATAATTATTTAGGTGCATTTTTATCTGATGATTATAAATAAACAAATAAAAAATTTACAGTACGTGGATTATTGTTTAGCATAAATCACAACAATCGATGACATGATGGAAGAATAGTACATAACGAGTCAACAATAACCACTTTTTGTTTAGCAGTAACAATAATCTTACACAACACAGAGTCTCATTTTATGTAAATTTTCCAAAAACACATCGCCGTCGTTCTCTGGTAGTAATGAACTCATCGGCAAATACACGTAAGTTGAGTGGATCTGTCCAGTTGGCACTATTAGATTGTTCAAACGTACTTGAGACATGGTCGATCTCAGGTATGTCTTAATCTTCTGAACGCCGAGAATGTCCTTTCACTGGTAGCATTAGTAGCAGGCATTTCTAACAAAATCTTTAACAACACAACGACCTCAGAGAACAGTGCTCGTTCTAGCACCGACTGTTCTGACGCAAATTTCATAATGTCGGGTAGTGTAACAGTACTATTTACTGATTTGTCAAAATGTGAACGTAGCAGCTGAAGCTGCGCATCTAAGATGTCTCGGTTAATATCGTTACCACAGAACCAAGTCCTCTAGTGGACTCGGTCTTCAAAGGTTGTGCAGCCTTTATAAGTAAATTCTCCACGTACGTTTGAAGTACGCGATATCCCGGTTGGTCAATATCTCTTCAACACTGGCAATGGCAAGATCGATTGCTTCAAAGTACTTAGGCAGGAGCACGTCCTGCACTGTAACGGGGTGGTAGCCAACATCGTGCCCTATCTCGAATCGTGTTGGCGCCTTTCTCTTCCGCGGAACATTTGAATCGTTAACACCGACGCGATCACTCTCACTTTGAAGTTTAATCCATAAAGAATCAAAACTGTCGTCTGATATTATGTCTATCAAACTATCTAGATTCCGCTTTGCTAGCCGCTGGCCCTCGGATGCTGACAATGAAACTTGTTGAGGAGATTTGCTAATGTTGTCTGTCAATGCTAGGATGTTGTGTGCGAGCATTACACTGAAAGAGTACTCAAACTTGACTTTGTAGGACCCCTACATATACCTGGTCAATTAATTGTGTCCAGTCATGTTTGTATATTACCACGAATTGCTTTAAGGGCCAGTTAAGTACCAAATTGCTAATCATCGATGCGTGTTTTTTTTGGTTTTTTTTTTACTCACTTTTGGCCAAAATATTGGTCCGGCCAAGGCCGGACCGGCCGGACCATCGACGACGGCCTTGGTATGCAAGTGTTTTTCACATTAATTTCATACAAAATATAGCACTTTTTTAAGGAAATTCAAAGTTTTAGTAACCCTATTAACATAAATGTGTTTTACGTATAAAAAGCAGTAATATTGCTAATGATTTGGACCCAACATGATATTTTGAATGTGTGTGCAAATGCTTATCAAATTGTTACCCTTTTACTGTGTGATAACTGATAAATACTGAATAGAACTTTAGTATCATTAACAGTAATAGACCATTTTCATATGTCTTTAACTTTTTATTGATTGCTTAAAAGTCATTCCTGGTATTAAGTACATAAAAACAAAGATGGCTGCCACTCATATTAGGTTATGAACAGAACTATCTTTTTGATGTATAGTTAAAATTTCTTTTGGATGATTGTTATTTTTAGTCAAAAAATGGTACCTTCTATTTAATTTTATTAAATAACTATTTTATCCTAGATTTCTTCTGTATTATATGATGGTGGGCCTTATAAGGCTTACACTCCCGGTAGATAGTACAACCAGGATATAGATGGAGAAGATATATCCGGTGAGTGAGAAAGTGTTATGTATCACGTTCACAGCGAACTGGATGCACCTACTCTCCTGACATCAACCATGTATTTGTTTTATCCTACTTTTGTCTAGTTTAACCATGTTCTAAATTCTTTTAAATTTATTTCATTCTTACTTTTTTCCAGATAAAACAGCTATAATTATGTAGTTTTGTTTTGCTGCTAGCCATGTGATGTCATCATAGGCTAATTAACAATGTGACATAATGACTTTATCCAGCAAGGCTTTATCCAGATGATAACATAGACATAAGCTGGATAAAATAGAAATCAGTTACTTGTTATGATTCAAACAGTGCATGATAACCTTTTCTTACATTTTCAGTGTCATCATGATGGACATAACCCATTACATGCCCTGTAAAAAGCCACGTAGGTCAACTAGGCTTGAAGAAAAAGAAAAAGAAGAACTAAAAGAACAATCAATAAAGAAGGCACCTCTAGGTTATGTGGACATACTGCCTCTGGAACTTAAATTCTTTCTTTTACGATATTTTACAGGTAATTTTAATATTTAAAAATAATCTTATCTGTCTGTCTAAAAATAATTTAATCCGTCTGTCTCCACTCCTTTATAATAATTAATCATCCAATGATTTTACAGTAAATAAACAGTGGTTTTTCACATTGTATAACAGAGGCCTACATGTATAAAAGGCCTCTTCCCAATCTAAATTTTCTTTACAGTAGTGCAGTTTCCCCCCAAAAAAATATAGCCTAGCTTTTTCCTTACTTAATTAGCTATTTTAGTGATAACTTTTCCCAAAATCAAAAGACTAAGGCCTCTTCCCAATTAAGTGGGGAAAAAAATACTGATTGTATTATAAACACATAAAGATTATACACATAGTGCTTGTCAAATATTACATAAATCTTGCTTCACAGCATGTTAAAAGGTTTTTGAAAGAACAGAATGTTTGTTTCATATCTTATTGAGTTCTGCTGTTAAATGTCCATAATTTTGAAAGAAAATCTAATTGTTGCTATAAAAAGAAATAATATATGTGAAACTGCTCCCATTAATTGGAAACATTTAAAGGTCATTCTTAATTTATAAATTTATAGATTATTTTTAGCTACATGTATTTTATCATGTTATGATTTGTGTTTTTACAGAGTGAAATCTATATTTTTTCAGTTGAAGACTTGAGTATTTTGACAATCACATCAAAGGCATTCAGGAATTTAATTGAAGGATTTTTCAGCCTTTACCCTGTGTTAAGAAAGGATTTGGTGAACAGATTACACATACAGAGCATGTACATACCTACACCTGTCACTAAACAATGTGATGTTTTGAATACATTCTGCAGACTAGGTATTACTATCTCCTGCTATAGATTTGGCATTGTCCGTCTGTCTGTCTGTCCAGCATCCCTCTGGAACAATCTGAGTTGAGAATAAAACTTAAAATATTTCAATTAGAAACCTAAAACTTCATATGAGCCGCGTCATGACAAAACCAACATAATGGGTTTACGACCAGCATGGATCCAGACCAGCCTGCTCATCCACGCTGTCTGATCAGGATCCATGCTGTTCGCTGTCAGTTCGCTATCTACTTGTTATAGGGTTTGTAAGCGAACAGCATTGATCCTGATCAGACTGCGCAGATGCGCAGGCTGGTCTAGATCCATGCTGGTCGCAAACCCATTAATGATTATGTTGGTTTTGTCATGACGCTGCTCATATATAGATATGTCTCAGTTAGAAAAATGGCAGAGTTTGGAGTTATTGCCCTTTGAAACTTTCATAACTTTCCTCTAGGGCCTAGCTCAGTATCAACTTGAAACTAAATCAATGGATAAGATCTTATTAAGGGGGATACAGTGCATAAGAATTATAATTCTCAGTTATAATTTTTTGAATTACTGCCCTTTTTCACTTTTTCCTACTTTACTTTGGTGCAGAGCATATTTATAAATGTAATGGATGAATCAATTATAAACTTCACAGATGGATTATTAATTTAAAGAATCACACAAACAATTGCTTTTTATGGCATGATTTATGAGTTATTGTCCTTCATAATTTTTAAACTTAATTTTTGTATTGGACATACTCTGTTTTAGCAAGCATTTACTTGAATAAATATTATATAGGCATCCCGCAAAGTGTAGCTAAATATAAGAGTTGCAACTTTCTTTTGCATAGATTATATTATAGTATTGCCCTGTATAATTTTTTCATATTTAATTTTTCTTGAAAGCAAAACTGAAGAAGTATTATAAATAGCAACTTGAAACTTCATAGATTGATAGATTTTCTTTTAGTAAAAATAATGAAGCATAATTATTACATGTATTATTATTATTTTTGTTGTTGATGATTTTGGAGTTCTTTCCCTTTTTCTTTCAGCATACTAGTTATTGCACTATGTAATTTATGATATTCAATTTGTAGAACCTAAACCCTAAATATAATTGAAAGGGTATTTGTTCACAGAAAAGGGCTTTTCTTCTAAATGTGGGAAAACATAACTTTCTTTTGCAAAACATAACTTTCTTATATGTGGAGAAATAATCTCTATTTAAGGCTGTTTTTTATATGTAAGGTTATAATATTGTAGCAGTCTGTCATGACCTTTTTTTCAAAGGGCATCTTTAGCGCCAACATTCTTACCTGTTATTATAACAAAAGCAAAAAAACTTGTTGTAAACATTCAGTTAAAGGTTTAAAAGATGTTTACTTGAAATCAATGAATTTCACTGAAACTATTGCAGGCTTAGGGCTATTAACATTCTTAATATTTAAATAATATAAATTTTATTACTTTTTTAACATTTTATAATTTTTACTACATTGCAGGTCTATTGTTAAAAAGATCTACTTGTTTGTATGCCACAAAAGATAGACTTAAATTCATTAATGAGGTTTTGACAAAGGTAGGAACCTCTTATATTGCTTACAATTCTAAATTTGAATATATAATGCAATCCTATAAATAATTTTTTGAAAGATTAAGATATATATTTAAAAAAAAAAAAAAAATCAAAATTATTGTGTATCTTTTTATATTTCAAATAAGAATCTAACACCCTATACAAATCTGTTTTTTATATGAAAAATGCAGAATTATTATTTTTTTTATTATTATTACAGTTACTATGTTCTAACGCTATGGAGAACTGTGAGGATTTGAACAAATGTATGGCTATGACATGTTTCGGCAAGTTTCTACACACTGTCATAGCTGGCTGGGACGATTGTGAATGTATACGTGCCTATGATTCAATCTGTAACCATTCCTGTCTACTGAAAAATGTGAAGCTTGTAATGACGTCCAAAACAGGTAAGTTAATTGATGCAAAGTTGATTGCACTCTAAACCAGAATTTGCACTTTAAACTTTAATATCTTTACATCAAGAATCAGAAACATGGTTTATTATCTCTTTTGTGTCCCATTAGTGCTTGTCAAAAGGTTTAGTCTGAAAAAAAAAATTACTCTGCCTCCTGTTTGGCAGTATTTGCCCTGTCTGGTCCTTTACTGCTATTAATTAGAAAAACTCAGTGCTAAAGCTTGGATAACAGCAATAAATGAACATTTTCATTTAGCTACAGTCTACTTTATCCTTTTGTTTTAGATATAGTATTATACTATTTCATAATATATCAATATCATACTGTTGTCAATTTGTGACAATTTCCAATATTGTTTATATGTATTTTTGCTAAATTGCAGGTAGCCACCAAAGGCTAGAGTTTGAAATAAGATGTTTTTTCCGACGGGTGTTCCTTGACCATTGTTCATCGTTGCAAGACCGGGCTTTCTGGTTAACTAGAATACTCAAGCCATGGCCATTGGTTTATCAAGCAAGGCTTCTTTTCTTGCTGTATGGACCAGTATTGTCAGGTAATTTAGTAATTGCTAACATCATGAGAAGTAATCATTGCATTTCACTGCTGTTTGTTAACAGTTTAACTGTTGAATATACACTACTTGTATAAAATTTTATACAGTGGTACTTGAATGTGTGCAAAGTAAAATAATGCAAAAAGCATTTGTTTCCTTTTGTTTGCTTCTTTATTAATAAAAAAACATAAAAATACTTTCATCTTTAATTGCAGTCGATACATTATACCGGTTATGCTAACTTGTGTGACTTAATTTTACCTACTGTGCATCAATTTGGTTGTACAATTGTTTAAAAGCCCAGAAAATGCAGTTATATTTATTTCTCAACAGCTTTTTATTTGTGGGGTACATATATAATAATATACTTTCATAGTTTCTATAAAAGTTACTCATTGGCCGAATACCTGACCAATCTTTTTCTTATGTTGCTTTTTGGCAATTATTACAGTTATAGTGATTTAGTATGGCAGTCAAAATACTTGATTGTTTACATTGTTACTTGTTTTATGACAAACTATTTTACATTAGCATGACTTTCTTCAGGTAACAAGTACCTACCATGTTTTTAATTAATACCATTTCTAAAGAAGTAAAAATCTTTCTAAAGAAGTAAAGAATTTAATCATTTTAATATTCGTTTCTAATACTCATAATGTGAATAATAATAATAATGTGAACAATGACAGAAAGGTGATATTTGGTTATTACAGAAGAGATTTTATGGTACGAGTTAAGTGAGAATACGCCAGTAACAGCAACTCAGTCCACCCAGCATATTGGTGAACTAGCCAATGCCTTACAGATCCTGCATCATTATAAAGAGGAATGGTCAGAAGATGACATTGTTAGCATTATAGACGAAATCACAAGTAAGCTAGTATATCTGTTCCATTTCATTGAGAGTAATTTTCAACAAGGGGAAAAGTTACAAAATTTCTCATCATGTTAGCTAGCTCCCACAATACATGTATATAGTGCGCTTGTCCTCATTCAAAAAAGCCATATCCTATTTAGTACAAATTTAAAGGAAATCCACTGAGTTTTAAAAGCATAGAAAAATAAAATTTGAATTTCTTACATTATTAGATCAAATGAAGCACTAAAAACAGAATGACATGCAAAAATAAAGTAAAAAGAAAAATTCATGAATTCAATTGAAAATGATATTTGTCTGCACTTCTTTAAGCCTGAATTGAGGTACGGTAAACGTGTTTAAACTTTAACAGTCTTTCCAATTTTTGGGCCATTTTACACAATCAAATTAATTGTTCTAAAAAAAAAAAAAAAAGAGTACGATAATCAAATGATTGCAAATATTGCAAAAAAAAATTATTGATCCAGAATTACATGTACATAAAATTGACCGTTATGGTACATTGTATATAAATCTCAAAAAAATATTTCCAGTTCTGTCATGTCAAAAAGCTTCAGTGGAGTCCCTTTAACCTTACAGCTCTTTTTTTCTTTTCAAATCCAATATTGATTTCCATTTTAAATATTCCCTTTCATATTTTTCAGTATTCAAACTTTTTAAACATAACTTTCAAAAGAAGCTTGTTAATTTTTTTATGCAATTTTTTTTCTTGTTGACATTTCAGTGTATCATGTTTACATTTAATATTGATAAGTACTAGTATTTTATATTTACATTTTATTAAAAGGTGAAAATAACCTTCATGTAACTACAGACCTATATCTCTTTTAAGCTGTCTCGGAAAAGTTATGGAAAGATGCATCCATAAATACTTGTATAACCATGTCATTTCAAATAAACTATTAACACCATTTCAATCAGGATTCATTAAAGGGGATTCAACCATAAATCAGCTAACCTTTCTTTACAATGACATCAGCAAAGCCCTAGATGAAGGAAAAGAAGTTCGCGCAGTATTTTGTGATATATCAAAAGCTTTCGACAGGGTTTGGCACCAAGGACTCCTCTATAAACTTTCTTCTTTAGGCATACAAGGTTCTCTTCTTCAGTGGTTCTCATCTTATCTTGCTGACAGAAAACAAAGAGTCATCGTATCAAATACTTCTTCAACACTTTTAAATATCAATGCTGGAGTACCTCAGGGGTCCATCTTAGGCCCTCTCCTGTTTCTAATATACATTAATGACATAGTCACTGATATTGAAGCAAACATTCGACTTTTTGCTGACGACACTAGTCTCTACATCATTGTCGAAGATCCCAACTCTTCTGCTGCAATATTGAATTGCGATCTTTCAAAAATTTCTGTGTGGTCAAAAACTTGGCTTGTCTCATTTAATCCCTCAAAAACAGAACATGTCCTTTTCTCAAGAAAACGAAACAAACCCCAACACCCTTGTCTTGTCTTTGATAATGTGAACATTTCTAGTGTTAAAGAACACAAGCACCTTGGTGTCATCTTTTCTGAAAATGGTAAATGGACATCACATATAACATCAAATGTTAATAAAGCTTGGCAGAGAATTGGTATTCTTCGAAGTCTGAAATTTCTTATTTCTAGAGCGGGATTGGAGAAATTATATGTAGCCTTTATTAGACCTTTGCTTGAGTATGCCGACGTGATGTGGGATAACTGTAGTAATGAACTAAAAAATGATATTGAATCAGTTCAGCATGAAGCAGCAAGAATCGTCACAGGAGCTACTAAGTTTTGCAACATCAACAAATTAATTAGCGACCTCAGTTGGGATACACTCGCAGAAAGGAGAAGAAAACATCGTCTCGTACTTATGTATAAAATGAAAAATGGTCTCGCTCCTGATTATCTCTCTGGTCTGATACCAGAACATTTTAATCAACCCTACACTCTTCGCTCTAACACCGATATCCCATTAATACACTGCAACTCCCAATCATATGCTACTTCTTTTCTTCCGTATACTATTCGCCAGTGGAATTCTTTACCTGGAAATATTAGAAATGCATCCACAGTAAGTGCTTTCAAACACAAACTCAACTACAGAAATATGTCGTCTAATAAGAAAAAACACCTGTATAATTTTGGCAGCAGGAAAAACCAAGTAAACCATACACGTCTCAGACTTGGATGCAGCTCTCTTAATTTCGAATTACATAGGAGAAACTTAATCTCGTCTCCTTTGTGTACATGTGGTGCCATAGAAACTGTTTCCCACTTTCTGCTCAGTTGTCCTAAGTACCATATCCTACGTCAGCAATTCTTTGACGACCTACCCTGTGCCCCAACCCTTAATAATCTTCTTTTCGGCAATGATCGCCTAAGTATGGACTTCAATCAGAATCTGTTCACACTTGTCCAGAGCTTCATTGAAGCATCAAAGCGTTTCGATTCATAATTCCCGACTCAGCGTTTTAAACATCGTATTTCCATGACAAACTGTGTGACACAACTTTTTTCTTTTTATTGTTATTATTATTTTTATTTTCTTCTCTCTTTTTTTTTATTAAAAAGGAAAATGAATAAACAAAAAATCAAGTAAAACCTTCCGAAAAATTATAAATTTAGATCAATTTTGAACTTAAAAACATGCACTGATCATATAAAGTGAAATAACAAAGACGAAACTCCATCATGGAAAGGAATTAATATAAGTGTTATGCTTGTTTTCCAATCCATATATATTGTGATGTAAAAATGTTACATGCTTGTAAAAATTGATGAATAAAATATGTTTAAACTAACCTTTATGTTTGCAATACCACATTTTTTTCAATTTTCTATGAAGTACTGTAAAGGAAAACGTTTTTTTTTCTTTATTGTAAAATGAAGAAAAGCTTTGATTGAAAAGAAAATTAACTTCATTTATTTCTGGGGTATATTGGACATTTTTTAATATTATACACAATATGTACATTATGATAACAAACATAAGATAGATGAAAGCAAATATGAAAAGGTCATTATTTTTATACAAGTCTTTGAAGTTAGATCTTGTTGCATAAATGCTAAAACAGTTCAACAATGCACATTTATTTGTTATTCTAATATACAATATTTACTGTTTCTCTTACTAAAATGATCAAATTCATGAAGTAAAGAATATTTAACTTCTCTGTAAACTGCTCTCTTAGGGTAAGGTCTGTATACTAGTATAAATGTTTTTTACTGTCTACTTCAGTGAAAAAAAATTGATTGTTTTTAATTAATGCTCATGCCTTTATAGACAAAGGGCATATTTTTTGTCTTGTCTTAATTTATCTCTTTCAAAGACTTCTATTTCAAAGAAAAACAGTCACATTAAGCTTGTAAATAGGAAAAAATGCTTCAATTAATAGAACAGGATAATTAAACTCATTTAATCCATGTATTTGTACATTTGGAAACTTTTTTTTATAATGAATTGGATTTAAATTTTTAAACTTTTATAAAATCATTGAGGACATGGAGACATGATGCTTTAAATATGCATGCCTGATATAATTGCTAACTATATACGTTGTATAATGTTAGAATTGGGATAAAATTTAAGTACCAGTCTAAATGTTAAAATTGAGATAAATTGTATACATGTATTTATGCTGTGAGGTAGGTGTAGTGTAGAGACTAAGATAATGATGTCATTGCTTTATAAGCATGAATTAATAACCATAATGGCAATTGAAATATTTTAATTATTTGACTTCAGGTGCACCAGATGAATGGTTAGCAGAAAACATGGCACACCTACTGATTCTATGTGGGGATGTTATCACGTCTAAAATGCTCATTAGTAAAGCTATCAATGGTAGAACATTAGAGTTGTCAAGTTTGACCACAGCATTCTGTGTGGTAAGATTTGTATATAATATTAATGATAACAATAATCATACAGAACCATTCTTTAACAAGAACTGTTACTAAGTGACCAGCCTCTCAATCCAGGGATTATTGATTCAAGACATACAGGGGTCTTTCCTCATATGATAATTGAGAACTGGTTAGTTCTAGAAATAACAGCCATAAAAGTGGTTCACATAATAAAGCCTTTCAAGAAGTACAAATTCTAGAACTTGGTCATAATTGGTGTTTAATAGACAGTGTCTTTCACAATTTTTATAAAATACATGCAGGGTTTTTTCTCAAGGATTTTTGGGAACTTCCTGAGACCTATACCCATGGATTTGGGATTTTCAGCGCTAGTTTTGTTAAAAATTGGGAAAAATTCATGACTAATCACTGTCTGATGGCATCTTCAAACATTTAAGCACTATAACAGGGGAGAAGTCTTTATTTTCAAAGACTTTAGAATTGTTTATTCAATATTTTATTTTGTAACTTTTAATTGGGAATTTTTTCCTGTGGATTGGGAAAATAATATACTATTTTCAATTGGGAATATGACTGAATATCGGCTATAAAATAAGCCAAAAAATATCCCTGACATGTACTTAGGTAACTAACTTTAAATGTGCAGGTATTTACTTTATAGGTTTGTGTTAAGAACAACCTGAGCTTGAATTATGTGATAACTATGATCCGCCATGTTCTCTCAGTGATAGAAAATGTGAAGGACAGACAGAACTTCTTCTCTAGTGTGATGGACATGTTCAAAGAGTTGATCATAGATTTACATGAATTTGGTGAGTACATGTACAAACTTTCTAATGTTCTTTTCCTTGAGCTTATATCACGTTACACCAGATTTATTTGAGTCTGTTTTGAGTCACAGTAACAAGCTATTATGACTTGAGAATTAATAGTTCTATGCAATGAAAAATTAACTACTAACCCAGGGAACCTTTAAGTATCAGACAATTACTGTAATTATACAATTCATGAGATCAGAAATAAGCAGCTTATCAGGTTGGAGTACTGTACAAGGTCCCAGGGGTGTATTAAGATAAAGATTACTAAATCAAAGTGCTGCAGCACTGAATGCGATGGACATGCAACCGGAGAGACATTAAGGCTTCTTTTAGAAAAAAAAAAACAAAAAAAAACAACAAAACACAAAATATATGACAGAGAAAATTTGTTCCATACAAGTTCGAGATTTGTGGAGCAATATATTTTGTGTCCCAAATTGATATAATTCAGATTTTCTACTTTCAAGCACTTAAATACAGAATGAAATTTATGCCTAAAAACTCTGGTCAAACTTGTAAATCAGTGTCCTTAACCTTTTCTGTACGAAATCTGCTGTGGTCATAGTATTATTTTTACAATAGGTTTATCTCTTAGATTTGGTTTGGCTTGCTATTGCTAATCATGGTCATGCAACTACATAGTTAGGTGAATAAGCAGACGCTTGTTTTAGTTGAGTCTATTATGTTTTGTTTAGGGGGTGAGTTGTCATACACAAATTTACAATTTATATGCATTTGTTTTTTTCCAATGATTGTTATTATCTTAAATGCTTCTGGGATTGTTGTTTTATCAATTCATTTGTAAATAAGATTGCTATATGTCTATTAACGGAATAATTTTAATGAACACGAAAGTAGTTCACACCTACATGTGTATTGGTAACGTGATGGTTTAAGCCAAAGAAAACACGTCAATATTATTATACTCAGGCAAAGAAAAAGTGTGCAAAGAGTAAATCGATAAGCAAACTTTGAATTGCAAGTATTTTTTCATATCTTTTCGGCAGGATAAACTGTCCGAGGAGGGCCAGGCATTTTCGTATCGTAAAATGTCTGCCATTTACAGTATCAAGTGATTATCCCAAGCACCACCGCGACTTAGCGCGGGAATTTTAATTATAGCTTACCTCGGCGCGTGGCATAGGATGGAAAATACCTTTTTCATACTTTATTGTAATAAGTATTTACAAACTGTGTCTTTCGGGTTTTTTTTATCAATATATAACCAATAATGATGTTAATATGAATAAATAATCATATCTCAAATCTGTGACTATGATTTACAATGAAATTCTACCTTAAGTGTATTAAAAAGGTTTTTAATTTCCTGTAATTTTATTTTGTGATTATGCTTCAAAGCAGTCAATTGACCGTGAATTTTCTTTTCATATTTTGATTTCCTTGAAATCATTTTTCTCATCTGAAGGCATGCAACTTTAATATGATGATACATTAATTACATTCCATGAAAATGTTTAAAGATATAAAATATCTCATGACATGTTTTTTCATTTTACATTACACCTTTAATTCAGCAAACATAAAGTCTTCACAAAAAGTAGTATGCAATCGTACCTATATTACATATGAATGTATGTAATATTTTTCTTGTTATTCTAAGAAATGATATGTAAATAGAAAAACTATCCACGAAATATTTCTAGAATAAATCCAGGCAAATAAACTTCAAACATAATACATTATACATTTGAGAATGCTATTTAGAATTGCTTCGTGTTATATCATAGTGGGCATACAGACAATAAAATATAAGTCATTTGTATTTTCATTTCTCTTGGATATGTCTCATTAAACAAAAAAAAATTGGTTAAAATCATCCGCAATTAATAGTGTATTTCTTAGATTTTTTTTTTTTACAAGGTAAAGATGTAGAGGCCAGAGCACATCGTTTTTATTTTAATTTAAATGTCACTTAAGCACTACAGTGTTTAGTTGTCCTTTTCAGCTTCACACTAAATTCCATTTTCAACTTGTTTGCTTCTTACAATTGTATAGAATTTCTAAAAGTATTGCATGTAATCCGCTGGTTTATTAATTACATGTTTAATGTGTACTTCCTAAATCGCCTGTCCAAAAATCAGAACAGGTGAAGCAGAATCTATTTTTAGAATAGCGAAGGTTAACTCATATCATGACCTAGTAAAATATGTAAACAAACCACAAGAATCGGAAGTAGAACTGATATTATAACTTCCTTACCATGATAGACTACATGGCAGTAAAATGTTGTAAAACTCTCTTCTTACATGCATTTTCAAAAATAGATATTTATACTAACCATTGTACTGTATCTAATATATTAATAACTGCTGAATATTCAGCTAAACCCGCGGTATGAGTCACGAAAATAGTTCTTCTTTTATTAATGCGCGAGTTATCCTAGAGTCACGAAAAACTTTTGATTTGTTAATAATAATGTTTTGTATAATGTAGAAATATTTATTTCCTACTAATAATGTCTTGGAACTCAGAGGTTACACCTTTATTGTAGTATAATTTGCTGTCCTTCTTTTTCGACAGCGGTAAATTGTTACAGCAGTAATTTGCATATTGCGCAATAATACTACGGGACTACAACACTTTTATCAATAATACACGTTCATATTTTAACTTGGATAACTTAATTTGAAATTGAAAAGGCTAAATATGGAAGACATTAAGATATCCAGACAAAGTATGGGAGTTTTGAAGGATCAAATTCATGTACTATTTCTTGGGCTGTTAATTGGTTTAGGACACATTGCGCGATTGTAGCCAACGAAATCCCATGTGTAGATGACTTAGCTCTGAACGCGCCTGAGGGCGCGTCCGTCGCAAAAATCTCCTATCAAGGTATTTACAGCAGACAGTGTTGGTTTAACTTGAAACTCGACAAAAGAAATAAATAAGGTACCTAAATCTGCTATCATCATTGTTCCTTTTGTTCTGCCAAGATTGTAATGTTGCTGATTTTGTAACACTACTATACATTACAGATGAGGACCAGGGAAATGACATGTATTATATGGTCACATCATTAGTGGAGTTCACAAAAAAAATAATCAACATGGCATTCAGGGACTCACTGGTTTCTTGATGATGATGTGTGCATTAGTATTGTTTCTTACTCAGAGAAAAAAAAGCCGTATTGACTTGTCTACGCCACCTTTATAGAACTAGATCAACCAGCACATCCTTGCAATCAGACCTGACTTGGAATATAGTGAAATACTCCTGGAAGACCTTTCTTTAAATGCTTATTTACATAATAAATTTGTATGGTGCTTACATTTAGCATTTATAGGCTACCAAACCATTTTCATATGCTTTTCCTTTCCCGAAAATTATTTATATCCAGTTTCAATTGAAAAGCAGGACTGTTCAGCAGGGTACATGATGATATGTTATGTAATTGAAACAAATTTGCTATAAGCTGTAAGGAAATGATTTGCAGAAAAAAAATAATAAGTTACATCACCAATTGAAGAGTAATATGTTTAGCTAAAAACTCATGTTTCTTTCAGTGTAGCAACAAATACACTGCAACCTCTGCTAAGGATCCACCTAGAGAGCAATTAAGCTCTTCTAGAGCCTTTCAGCAACAACAAAAATCTCCCAAAGGAATGTTACTCTATCGAGGTTGCACTGTAAATGTTTTCTATACTGTTGTTAGTGGACAAACTGTGATAGATGTATAAGTTCTTCCTAAATTAGACAATGAAAATATAAGCCAATGTGTGATTTTTTTTCAATTCCATCTCTGATTTTTAGATATTTTGGCAATCAATTTAAATTTATTAGATTTCATTGCTAAATTTTTGTGCTGGTGCACAGTTGATTACCTCAGTTTGTGTAGATTTGACATTCAATGTTGAATAAACTGAGTTTGTCCTACAATCTAGTATATTTTGACATTAAAATGTTGAAAAGATATGTAAATACAAGATTATTTTGAGGTTATATGTTGAATAATTGTATTCTCTACATGTATGTTACAGTATATATTGACATTAAAATGCTGAGTAGACATGTACATACAAGACTCTTTTGAGTTTATATGTTGAATATTTGTATTCTCTACATGTATGTTATAGTAAATTTTGACATTAAATGTTGAATAGACATCTACATACTAGACTATTTTGACATTATAATTATGTTGAATAGTTGTATTACCTGTGTACTACAGTAGTATATTTTGACATGTTGTATGTATGTATAGACAGATGGGTGGATGGATGTTTTGACATTAAATGGTATGAAGCTATATATACTGAAATATTTTTGATGGCTAAATTATGATGCTTCAATAGTCTTGTGGTCAATTCTCATAAAATGTCTCACACACATGCAAATTACTGTCTTTTTCATCTGTTACTTTTTGGCAGAAAGTACAATTATAGTGAATTACTATTTTGTATGGAAATGAAATACTACCATGTTTACATTTGGTTACTTTAGGACAAATGATTTCACATTTATTGCTACTTCCTTCAGGTAACAAGCATCTTAACATTCTTCTAAACCATTATTTAAACATTATAGAATTCATGTTTGTCCTTACCAAAGAAGTTAAAATCTATTTCTTTCTAAGGCATAATGACACGCCTTTAAGAAATTAAACAACTATCTTTCTAATCACAGGTGTTTTGGAATTATTCTTTTTTCTTCAAGACTACTTGCAGCAGATATATAGCTTTATACACATAAAATTATAAATATCTTTGTTATTTACAGATATTTATAGTCTGACATTAATTAAATGATTTAATAATTTGTTATTTTAATGTATTTACACATTTTTGACATTAAATGTTGAATTATGATTCCATTATAAAAAAGCTGTGATATATTGTTACTGATTTTTTAGTTTTAAGTAAATTTAGAGAATATGAATTATATGTTGTTATTATATCTGCCAAAATGTATAAAGGTATTAACATTTTTTTACATGAAATTATTTTAAGTACCCTGAAAATGCTCTGTCCCTGGTTTATATTAATCCAATCTGCTTATCTTGGGCTCATTATGTACTTTAGCTTTTAAGGTTGATTCTTAACAAGATTTGTCAAGCATTTTCTACCGTTTACAAACTGGGTCTCTTGGTTTGCTGTTTTGTGGGTGGTTTTCTGTTGAAGGTTTGACTTTTAATATAATTGTTAACAAAATACCTCTTACCCCATATGTTGATTTTTTTCATGATTTATAAATCCAAAAGGTTCCATTAATCGCACAAGATATGTTTAAATTATATCATCAATGCATTGGTTATTCATACTGCAAAATCTGTGTTAAACGTCAAATCTCGATTGTGCACATTGCCTTTACTTAAATCTATCGTCTTACTTTAAAGTTTAAGCAGCAAACAAATTTAATTCCGTCTCCTCACCAATAGCGAGGACGTAATTTAATCTAATCTAAACATACTACGGCTCCTTCCCATACTTATTCACCGGGGGGGGGGGGGGGTGTTTCACGAGGGATGGAGTTCTTATGATAACTTGTCAAGGAGTTCTTGTGAAAACTGGCACGGAGTTCGTCGGAAAACTATTGTATGTACTGCCGAAACACTCCTCAAAAATGGATATAGGTGCTAAATTAAACTTTAATGTATTATGTGTCAAAAACTAATTCATAGTCCATTTTTCCTCGCCTCTTGCTTAAAATCTGGAAGTTTTGAGTAAAATTTCCAAATTATTTGCAAATTCGCAAGTATTGACCTGTTTATTTCAAGTCTTCATCCTTGCCATACATAATTACCTAATTATTATGCAAAATTGCAAACATAAAACCCCGGCTAACAAATTTATACCAGATTTTTCAAATGTCCCCGAGTTCTTGTTATAACTCAAAATATGTCCTGAAAACCCGCGATGCATTTTTATCATAAATAAATAATTCAATTTATTGTTATTGTAAAAAAAAGAATTTCACCGTCGATCAGCGGAAAAAGATATTTTCTCAAAGTTAAGGCGTGTTTTCTTCGTTTTTCACTGCAGGGGAACATATATTTTCCGTAAATTAAAAGGGAAGCGTTTAGAATCATAAGGTAAAAACTAACAAAAAAATAATACTAAATAACTAAAAAGTTTATGATAAACTAGTTTCATTTCTTTTTATACGAGATTTGTTTTCATCTCGTGGTATGGAGATTATATTTCATATCGCTCTATACAAATAAATCCCGTATTCAGTTCACTGAAAAACTTGAATATACTATATATTTTGTTTACATTAGAAACACAATAACAATACGGTGTTTCCATGGCTGTCTGGTTGCGATCGATGACTTTGATTCTATATTACCTTTCCCCATATTACTTCTTTCTATCTTTAAACAAAGGAGTCATAGAAATGGTTTTCAGATACATGTTTTGTTAATTTAAACCTTTTTGTTATACTGTAGCGTGGAAATATCATTGCCTGGGGCGACATCGAGGGGTTTTCTCTACAGAAAATGATCAAGGCCGTAAGGCCCGAGAATATTTTCTAAAGGGAAAACCCGTGATGCCGCCCCAGGACATGATATTTCTACATAAAAGTCACTAGAGATCAATATAACTGTTTTATCGCATGATAGACAGAAATGAGATATTTAATTACACATAAAACTTCAATTTACATTTTGCTTCCCTTAATGAATTAAATTCTTCGGAAGCTCGATTATACTTTGTATGGCATATGTCTATTACCGAGTTTTTTTTATTTATTAAGAACCTATTACATGTATGGTAAGAGTGCCTGATTTGTTGGATGAAAACAAAGCTATAAATAATTGTGACGCGCTAGTTTTATGATCAGCATTTCAATGACATGCCAACAGATGGATCAATAAAAACGATTATTGTTTTTTTTTCTTGTGGAGACCAAGAAAAAATAAAGAATATTAATATTGCTAGTATTTTGGTACAGTCCAGTGACCCTTGTGTTTTTTGTTAACGGTCAAAGTTATACATCAACAAAATGTACTTGCATAACTGTGCTTTATTTGAATTAAATAACGCACACTTTTCTCAAGAAGTGTGCGTTATCTGAGATATCACAATGTGCGTCATTACCAATAAAACATGTTACTAGCGTATGACAGTTGAGGAACATCAAAGAAAAATCACCGCATCATGCAATAAGAATGCTCTGTATAGACATATCAATCACAATTTTTAAATGTTATTTAGATAAAATTAAGTTCATGAAATCAAGACATCAATTAACCGGTCTCAGATAGTGTTGGTAGTTTTCACTCCGGATCACGGCAGTAAGCCACATTGAATTTACCAGAGAACAGTTCCGAGCTGGCTGTCAAGCAATTTACCAGCACTGGTTACTTACCTTCACTTTCGCAAGGAACTGAAATTTCTGAACATACCAGAGCGGATCGAGGTACCGTGCGAATGACCGTAGATCAATCACAAGGAAAGTGAAATGCAACCTCTGGGAATCAACCCGGGTCTACTAACCGGACGGTACTCAGAAAATCTGCTCATAAAAATTTAAGAATAGAATCTGGTAGATGTAGTAGAAAGAAACAGATTTGAACGACATGAGCGCACATGTCAGCTTTGTAATACCAAAATATTGAAGACGAATTTCATTTTATACTTTACATGTTTGTAGTCTGTACCAGGAAATCCGTACTCAATTCATTAAAAGATATTACTTAGATCTACTTCAGTAAAAGTCTGTATTATTATACCCCCGCACAACAAAGTTGTAAGGGGGGTATACTGGAATCAGCTTGTCCGTCCGTCCGTCCGTCCGGCTGTCCGGCCGTCCGTCGGTTTTTTCTTGTCCGCCCAATAACTTAAGATTCCTTTGACCCTTAGTCTTCATATTTGGCATGGAGGTTAGTCATGATTAGTAGATGACCCCTATTGATTTTGAGGTCACTAGGTCAAAGGTCAAGGTCACAGGGGCCTTGACTTCAAAAAGCTTGTCCGCCCAATAACTTAAGATTCCTTTGACCTACAGTCGTCATATTTGGCATGGAGGTTAGTCATGATTAGTAGATGACCCCTATTGATTTTGAGGTCACTAGGTCAAAGGTCAAGGTCACAGGGGCCTTGACTTCAAAAAGCTTGTCCGCCCAATAACTTAAGATTCCTTTTGACCTACAGTCGTCATATTTGGCATGGAGGTTAGTCATGATTAGTAGATGACCCCTATTGATTTTGAGGTCACCAGGTCAAAGGTCAAGGTCACAGGGGGCCTTGACTTCAAAAAGCTTGTCCGCCCAATAACTTAAGATTCCTTTGACCCTTAGTCTTCATATTTGGCATGGAGGTTAGTCATGATTAGTAGATGACCCCTATTGATTTTGAGGTCACTAGGTCAAAGGTCAAGGTCACAGGGGACTTGACTTCAAAAAGCTTGTCCGCCCAATAACTTAAGATTCCTTTGACCCACAGTCGTCATATTTGGCATGGAGGTTAGTCATGATTAGTAGATGACCCCTATTGATTTTGAGGTCACCAGGTCAAAGGTCAAGGTCACAGGGGCCTTGACTTCAAAAAGCTTGTCCGCCCAATAACTTAAGATTCCTTTGACCCTTAGTCTTCATATTTGGCATGGAGGTTAGTCATGATTAGTAGATGACCCCTATTGATTTTGAGGTCACTAGGTCAAAGGTCAAGGTCACAGGGGACTTGACTTCAAAAAGCTTGTCCGCCCAATAACTTAAGATTCCTTTGACCCACAGTCGTCATATTTGGCATGGAGGTTAGTCATGATTAGTAGATGACCCCTATTGATTTTGAGGTCACCAGGTCAAAGGTCAAGGTCACAGGGGCCTTGACTTCAAAAAGCTTGTCCGCCCAATAACTTAAGATTCCTTTGACCCTTAGTCTTCATATTTGGCATGGAGGTTAGTCATGATTAGTAGATGACCCCTATTGATTTTGAGGTCACTAGGTCAAAGGTCAAGGTCACAGGGGACTTGACTTCAAAAAGCTTGTCCGCCCAATAACTTAAGATTCCTTTGACCCACAGTCTTCATATTTGGAATGGAGGTTAGTCATGATTAGTAGATGACCCCTTTTGATTTTGAGGTCACTGGATCAAAGGTCAAGGTCATAGGGACTTTTGACTTCAAAAAGTTTGTCCACCCATTAACTTAAGATTCCTTTAACCCACAGTCTTCATGTGTGGCATGGATGTTGATCATGACTATAAGGTGACCCCTATTGATTTTGAGGTCACTGGGTCAAAGGTCAAGGTCACAGGGACCTTGACAAAAAAAAGCTTTTCTTCTCAATTGCTAAAGAATGTCCTGTCCGCAATGTATTGATTTTGACATTTTCACATTTGAAGCATGTAGAATACATAACTTAGCAATGCACTGGCTTAGTAATCTCAGATTTGGCAGGGAGGTTGTCCTTGAGCTCTAAATGGCCACTGTTGATTCTGACAAAGTGGTATGCGGGGGTATTCACGCCATCATAGTGGCAGTTCTAGTTAAATCTATGTAAATTTATTTATTTTGCAAATAGTTAAAGAAAATATGTATCATGTTAATAAGTTAATACATAAACATGTTGGACGTGTTAAAAACGTTTTTCATAGATATTGTAAACTTTCAGTTAGCGCAAGTTATGTTTATATTAAACTGATATTTTTATATACATTTATTTATATGTACATTTTTTTTCTGCAGCAATATATGTTCATTCTCCAATATACTTTAAACATTTTAATTATATCATGTGCTTAGCCATTTATCATATGTAACACAATACTGTGTTATATAGGTTAGGAAATAAACATTTCTTTTCTGTTCATACTACCGATATTAAAGCTGAAAAAAGAATCTTACAAAGCGAAATTTGTAGGCTAAAAAATTGCCATAACAATACAAAAATATAATGAATAGAAAATTCATTCCAATGTACATTGTACATGTTCCGCCCCTTATAAATGTATATGTTGTGCAAAATGATGATTGGGATTTTGTCACTACAAATAATTTAACCTAGTTTCAACATTTCTTTTCAAAAAGCATAACGTCTTTTCACGCTGAACCAATATAGTGCCATATTCTACGATAATAGCCAAACTGTTTACAAAATCGATTTGCCTTAATATTCCATAAAACATTTTCTAAAACTTGAGATTTGAAAAATAAAAATGAAAGCTTGATATGAATTCAATGACAATTTATTAAGTAATAGATTTACATTTCTCCTTTATGGTACGAAAAATGAATAAATATCTAGGGTGATATGAAAAATAATCATTTGGCTTACTAAAAAAGTAGCAAGCCTTAGAAACGTTCACATGGGACATTCTTGTATCATATTTTTCTATTAGGCGTATTGATTTTGTCTATAATATTATATAGTCTATTCATTTTTTATTCCTTATCCATCATTTTTGCTGCACAGAAAATTCCTCCACCGGCCCAAGCCGCTATCCAAGCGACAATATCCATGGCAAATGCTGCATCGTAATCCATTAGATCGTTCTCAAGTTTGTCGACAAAGACAGCCATTCCTACCATAAGGAAAAGACCTGAAAAAATAGTTTAACTTGTAAGATATGTAGACTCATTTACAGCTGTATGCCTCCAGGTTCATGCTAATTTTTCATGAATGGATAAAAGATTAAAATATTTCCAAGTGAACAAAGAGAGTGACTTTCACTGTGCAAACGGCGTAAGTTACCAAAAATAATGTCAAAATATGTAAAAAGGCCTCGGAGCTCGGTCTTGACTTTTAACAGTGCCTCAAAAGGACATCAGATAATCTAGTAAATTCTTAGAAAGATATATTTCAGAATACATTCAACTCGGGATATAATTAAAGTATAAATCAGCCAGTCAAAATCTAAGGCAACCGGAATCGCTCAAGTTCTTTAGATTTTTTTTCAGATAAAATCTATACTTTTTTTTCTTTTTAGAGAACAATCAAATCACCTATTTTAACTGACTGGATATTAGCTTTATCGACTGTGAAACATTAAATATTTCCAACCTAATTTTTATTGCAGTTATTGTTTAATGCTAATATACGAATCCTTAAAATATCAGATTTGTTATTTTCGAGTTTTTTCCACAGCCAATGTGAACGTCATATAGGGGAATAATTTTGCTATTACATTTATTACTATAATTATGTAAATGTTTAAAGTACAAAGGTGCATCAGATTAATTTGAAGAGGTGCAACGCTATTGATCAAGTGATATAAATTTGCTACTCTCTGAATAAACATTACTTATGTGACACTCAGCCTTCTCTAAATACATTGCAACTGGAGTATAAATAAACATAGAGTACAAAATGTATCTATTTGTGTACCAAAATATTTGAACAGTTTAATATATATATAGAAGAAAAAGAATGATCACACAAGACTCACCCGCGGCTATATCAAGTCCTCCCGCAACAAAGAACAGAATTTTTGTGTCTTTCATAACAAACATTACAAGAATGCCTGTAACAATAGCAGCCGCAGACAGTATTACACCGAGTATGACGGTCGCACGCACAGCACGCAGATCTCTAAGCGTATCATCGTCTTGTACTATAAATAGAATAAAAAATTAAACAATATCATTTAAAGATATTAAAAAAAGAGAATGAAAATTAGCCGTTACTTAACATAAAACGTGGCATTTTGTGATTTGTATTACGTAAGGTAAGAAATTCTTCCTCAGTCAAATGAGAAATGTAATGTGCTATTTTCGATTCTGCCATTTTGAACATTCTTCAAATTGCCATATAAAAATAATTAAAGCATTTTTTCTATATCATCAATTTTAAGACTTCTATACCAGAAATGTAGATCTACACGTTCCCAGAAAGCTTACCGTTGTCAGAATTTAGGTCGATACAGACCTTGTTTCCGCTTAATTCAGTACAAGTTTCCCATAATCCTGTAGTAGTTTTAGATGAGCCGACTTCCAGACTTTCCCATAGAGTTAACGCAGCCGCTAAAATAGCAAAAAGAAGAGCAAAGCCGGAAACGGCTATTCCGACAAATCCGAGAATGTTTGCCATTGTCGTAAAGTGAGTATAATACTGCTAAAGCTGTTCCGAAAAAGGTCCAAACATAAAATGACCGATGTAACTTGAAGCAGGTTTTGCTTGAAACTGTTCCACTCGTACTGTAGCTTCGTTGTTATTTACTCAAAATGTTTTGTTAACTTGGAAGTACATGTAGGCCTATGTTCAAATAAATTATTTGTTTCCTGTCAGTCGCAGTGAGACACGGACAGTGCGATATTGTAAGGCCACGTTCAGTAACGCTTCAGATTGTCCATTGTACTGTCATATTGTAATAATCGAATTGCTGGGATATAAGTGAAGCACTGTTTTAGTTGTAGAATAAAATACTTAGAGAGCTACTAAAACAGCATGTACAGTAGGGGAAAGCTTTTAACGATTAAAAAACAAAACAACAACAACAACAACAACTAAAAGCACGCACTGTAGTCATAAATTATTTCTAATATTTGTCTTCTCAATATTCTATTTGAACCGCCTAAACGATGCTTTAAATGTTTAGCTAGTGTAATGATGAGAGAGTGTTAATGCACATTTTTTTCGAGCATTAATTAACATCTGCAGAAGCACAAGACCGCTTATTAAGCCCGATCCGTCAGGGATGCATTATGTTTTGATAATAAAACTTCAGGGGCCGTCATTGCATTAAGCTGTTTTTACTATGCACCCTGAGTCTTGCATATTAAAATAGACGTGTAGCGACGAATGCTTGTCTTCCGTTAAAGTATATTTGTGTGCATGTTTTTTGTGCAATAATTCAATTTAGCATACAAATGTAATTCAATATTGCATGTATAGATAACTCGGTTTGACATAATTTATTGCAATTTTTATTTCAATATAATTCAGGATATTTAAATTTAGCATATAAAACAGTTCAATCTGACATATAAAGGTAATTCTACGTACCATAGTTTAACATGCTATCTAGAAGAAAACTTTTAAGACGTATACATTGTACTTTTATGCAAGAATCGCGTTAATGCACATTTTCGTGATTATCATCTGCAGAAGCACTGGGTCGGTTTAAAAGCGCTGCGGGCTTGGCCTTTAAAAGCGTACCCGTGCTTTTGCAAATATATCAATGCAAGAAAAAATGTGCAAAAACCTCTATTCAATGCTAATGAATTTAAATAGTATCATATCAGGGGGACAGGAAACTTACATTTAAAGAAAAAAATGACTATTAATGTTGCTTTGGAAATCAACATAAGTTTATTGTGGCAACAAGATATTGAGCGAAATTTTGTTTGTCTTGGAGTTGTTAGGTTAAAAGTATTCAAACAGTATGGTGAATAGCTGAACAAACAAATGTCTTCCCCTGAATATGTATCTATTTGTGAAATTATTGACACTAATAGTTTTCAATCCACGTTTCGAAACTTACCGATATTGTCGTTCAGTGAATGAATATTGTTCTCGTATATTTTTAATATTTACCAATTTAGACTTCATGCTGTTTTTTTAAAGAATTCATTTATATGAATTTTATTTAGACAAGGTCGTTTCTTAAAATATTCAATTTGTGAAATTTAAAATATGAAATAATTGAAATGTTTGTATGTAGATTCGTATCGTCTTTTAATAGATTTTTTATGTTGTTAAAAGAGCGTTCTCTATATAAATTGGTTTTGAGATATTTGGGCCTTCTTTTCTAAAGAATTCCCGTTATCATGTAATTCGTTAATATAATAAAAGTATTAAATTGCGTTTGAAAAAATTCTGCTTTTTTTCAAAAGAATGTATGAAATATTTCTGTCAGATAGTAATTATCCATTTTTAAGTTTCAAGACTGGGAAAGAAAACTGGCAAACCCGTCACCTTTGAACTTAAAAATCGCCTGTGTCACTATTTGGCCAGCCATTCAAGAGGAATATAATTGTAAATAGTTTATGTTTATTTTGTTACAATGAATGAATGCACCTAAAATATGCATAAATATTGGCTTGACAAGTTAGTTTACTGACGGAATGAACGTGGGATGACAATGGAAATAAAATAACTTAGTGTCCACCTTTATTTGTCATCCATTGAAAACGCTGTATTTCTGAAAAAAAAATATCTGCGTTAATTTTCATAGAAGAAAAAAAGTCGATACTATATCAAATTCCGTTCTTTCTCGCCTTCTATTTTGCATAGTTCTTCATAGAACCGCGTTCGTTAAAATAGTCGTTACGTAATAAAGTGAATATTAATGAAGCCAAATCAAGTTGACACTAAGTATGCTCAACACTGCTCAACTTAGTATTCATCCGTAGCTGTTCTACAAAAATTAGAAATATCCTCCTCTTGGAACAGCACGGATGAGCACTCACATATACTTAACCCTTTCGCTGCCAGAGGGTTATTTATTTATTGATCACCTATTTGCCAGAAGGTTTTCTAAGAAATTACTATATCATTAATTATATAATTATTATTATTTGTTATTAGTATTATAATAATTATATATGTTTCCAAATCTGCTAGTATAATAATAATTATTGTCGATGGTATAATTATCTATATTTATTATTATTATTATTATTATTATTATTATTATTATTATTATTATTATTATTATTATTATTATAGAAATTTCAGTCGAAAAAAAAACGAACAGCAGAAAACCTTCCATTTTTGTAACATCTAGTTTGTAGGAAATGATAGCATGTAAAACTTAATTAAAGTGTTGATAAATGATTTTCTTTGACATTTTTTTTCATTTTTTATAAATTATGATAGTGCTTGTTTGGGTTTGGATTTACGAATAAATAGAACATATTTGTTACAAAAATCATATAGTCAACTGGGTTGAGAGCCGGAAGTTCAATGCAGTATCCAAGGGTCTAATAAAAATGTTTACATTATATCTATACCATATTTATAATTACTTGTTTAGATTTTACCATATTTGCAAAATGCTATTAATTTTACTCTAAATGTATGTTTGAAAATATCGTTTAAGTTTATAACACCTTTATGCACCTGTTATAAAATTTAAGCAATATTTAAGAATTAGCCCTACTTTTATTTTTTGAATAGAGTATCCCTGCCGGTTGGTAAACATTGCGTTAACAACGCACTTTCAAATGTTTTACATGAATTATCAAGTCAATAGAGTATTTCTATTTAATATTTAGCTACCATTACATGACTGTATATACTTAACTTAAACTGTTGTGATGTTGAACGTTCGTCTGTCCAACACTTCCCTTAAATTTGCACAAAATCTCCTCCAATAGAGGGATTTACGGCTTTTTACAAGATGTCTTGTTCATTGTTTTTTTATTTCAAAATTAATTTAAATATTTCAGACAGATCTTTGGTAGCCATGACAACCAACGTAAAAATTTATAACACTCATCATGGAAGAATATGTAAGTACACCTACTATATCTTTATAGCATTTCCAAGATTTTGTCATTTGAAAACTCTTCTAATGAAATTGTTAAATTAATTTTGATTTAGTCAAACAATGCCGCAAAAGGACGTTTTCGTGACTCCTTCACTTCTCAAAATTAGTTCAACTTTCACGGAAGTGCTTTTGCGTAAACTGTCGGAGCTTTGTGATTTTGATAATTTTTTAACCAGTTATGACAAGGGTCTGTCTATTAGAAAGACCATGCAATGGTCCTTTGTTTTTCTTCCACGTACATAATGATAAAATTATATGATATATACAGAATGATAATTTCTCACAGTCATTTAAATTTCACAGTCAGTCAAAAAAAATGCACCAGTATAGTCATAATTGAATGTGTATGTTGATTTTTTGCAAACAGGACGTTTCGGCCCCAAGCCAAATCGGCCCCAGTCGAAATATCGGCCCCTGGACGTTTCGGCCCTTTTTCGCGAGACGTTTCGGCCCCACTATAGTGTTTTGCTTGATTGATTAACAACAATTAATTTAATTAATAAATTAATTAAACGATAAAGGCCGGTTACTTACATATAAAACAAACCACTAAAACTTCTGGATTAGAAAAGTTACTTACAATTTTTCCTTAGAAAACATTATCTTTTGATCTTAAAGAAACTCCACTGAGGTTTATAAGCCTAAAAACATAACATCGTAATTTTTCACATAGATAAACATGAGCACTTTAAACAGATAATTTTATATAAATTTAATATAACTTAGAAATAGACAAGAAATAAATTGAAATTCGTATGTTTTTGCTACTCTCAGTTCGATTTGATTGAAAAGCGTTTAGACGCTTTTTAATTATGGGTCATTTTTCACTTTTATAATAATTACTCTGGAGAAACGCTAATGACCTGAAATTTTGCACACAAGATATTAGTATAGCTCAACCTCAAATGGAGTAATAATCTCAAAAAACTATTTCCAGTCCCTTCATGTCAAAAAACCTCAGTGGAGTCCCTTTAATTAAACTATACTTAATTTTTTCAAAGTGTAACTAATTAACTGTTTATACTTTATGCTAAATGGCGGTATTGTTATGTGTCTTGCTTCTTAATCATTCAAATAAAATATTATCTATATATGGTTAATAATTGTTTGTTTGTGTATTATATTTTTTCAAATAAAGTTTATGTTCTGTTCTGTTTGTATTGATTACTTTCCCCCTACTACTATAATAATCTAGTTTTTATACAAAATGATTAAATATATATATTAATTGATTAATTTTTTTATTGAAATGCTATTAATATATCGGTTTAAAATACAGTACTTATTCTGGGGCCGATTTGGTAAAGGGCCGAAACGTCCGGGGCCGAAACGTCTTGGGTAGTTTGGGGCCGATACGTCTTGGGGCCGAAACATCTCGAAATCGATTTTTTCACGGGGGTGGGGGGGTGGGGGCAGGGCCCCTTTAGACGCCATCTCCTCTTAAAAAAAAATTAAAACTATGAGTAAGATGATGCTTCCCCTTTGAGTCTGGCCGATTAATAAATGACATATGGTGGTTAAAATGCTGTTATTTTGCTGCTACTAAAATATATTAACTATTTCTCCTTCTTGATCTAACTAAACAAACCATACTGGATCAAATTTAGGTGTTAGTGGCATTGATTTGACCTAAAATGTGTTTAATATTATTTATTCAATAAAATATCCATATAATAAAAAGATCAAAATGAAAAATATGTATTGCATAAATAATAAAGTTAAACACGTTTTAGCTAAAATCAATGCCACTGGATATGTTGAATATAATTATTTTATTTTCAGAATAAGAACTGGAATTTGATCGGTTATCGAGAAAGTTTCTATTTATACAGAAATATATGTGCTACCGCTTCTTATATCATATAATTTTTGAAGTTATGAGAAATAAAGACAAATTATAATAGATCTTTAGTTTGTTTTTGTTATTATATCATATCCATGATATCGTGATGTCCGTGTCTTTGTGTGTATTTCTTATGGGTTGGGTTGGTGTAAGGGGAGTAACTCTGAAATCCCGCCGCCATATTTGGCAGAAAAGTACGGAAATTATACATTATTTTCTAGATGCCGCCCTAAAAGTACTGAATATGGCTGTGGATTTTGACCCAAACGACAAAACAAGGTGAGGTCTAGGCAACCGATTTAATTAAAATATTTTTCCTTAAGTTAAACTAAAAAAGAATTTTAAAGTGATTCCTGAGATTCGTCCAAGGAAGTTTCGACCGTTCAATCAAGAACTAAATAATTTAAAGTCTAAATCTTTTAATGTACCTTAATTAAGTCTACCCATCTCTTTTTATGTCAGTAAAGTCCTGTCATCAAAAATGTTCATGAATTATGATGATAATAAGCACTTACCCACAAGCCTGTTGGCTGTATGAATCTTCGAGCAATGGCAACCAGTCAGTGATATGTCACATAATGTGAGTCTTATGGTAGGAATAAATGTTTTGATATAGAGCCGATAGATCTAATATGTTTGAAAATCAAGTAAGGAATTGCCTAATTGCACAGGCATTGATCCTAACTCCCATACAATTTCTGGTGCCGTACCAACTACCATTCAGATTCTGACAGACAATAATACACCGATAAACACTTTCAGAACTAGCAGACGACAGGCTATTCTTATCAGTGGTATTTCGAGTAAAGATAATGGGTTGCGTATCTCACTGTATAAATCGTATGTAAAATGGTCTGACATATGGTAGGTTTAACAGTTAATTTAAATACTTTGGAGTCAGAAGATGTGTTGAAGTTTATACTGTGATGAAGCTAAGATCCAAAGCTTTCTATTGGTGTAATAAATTTTAAAATTGGACATTTAATCACAACAAACCAGCGGTTTAAAAATGGCTTATTTTGTATTGTTTTAGCATAAGCGGTATCGATTTTACTCGAAGAGAAGGGAAGCAACTCGTATTTTTCACTCGATATACCTCGGTTATTTACGTAGATCGTATTGAAAGTGTTTAGGGTGTATTGAGCTGCATCATGACAAAACCAACATAATGGGTTTGCAACCAGCATGGATCCAGACCAGCCTGCGCATCCGCGCAGTCTGATCAGGATCCATGCTGTTCGCTTACAACTCTATAACAAGTAGAGAAACTGAATTTTTTACTGATAGCAAACAGCATGGATCCTGATCAGACTGTGCGGATGCGCAGACTGGTCTGGATCCATGCTGGTGGCAAACCCATTATGTTGGTTTTGTCATGATGAGGCTCAATTCATGAATTATTCATTGACTTTAAGTATCAACCACACTATCTCAACATTAAACAGCGAGTCACTTGTCAGCTCAGCCTACTTACAAAATTGTTTAACTTAGTATTAATTAAAATGACATAATATGGTTCACGAGTGAATGGAGGAATGTCAAAATAACTTTACATTTTGCCATAAATCCTTTCAATTTTATAATTTACTCAGTGTGAACATAAATAGGTCTCAAGGCCAAATGAAAGTTCTGTCAAAATGCCTGTCAATATCCATAACATGTAATTTATCTGTCATATTCAATTTAGAGAGTGGTGCATTCTTTTTATATTTTAGGCAGATTTATACCCAAGTTTTCATACAGGGCAGTTTTCTCCTGTAAATTAAGGAAATTTCAAACCCTACATCTGGAAAAAGCCCTGGTTCACACATGATTAGACATTAAATTCAATTAAAATTCTAACAATTTAGGTTAAAAGCAAAAACTATAGACACATCATTTTATAAATTATCTACTTTTCAGCTCGATTATTCGATAAGAATAAGTAGAGCTATTGCAGTCACCCGAGCGTCGGCGTCAGTGTCTGCGTCGGCGTAACCACTTACGTTAAAGTTTTTGTAATAGTTCAAATATTTTCAAAGTCCATTGACATATGGCTTTGAAACTTTGCACACTTGTTCACCATCATGACCCCAACTTGTAGACAGGAGGAGGTAACTCTATCAAGCATTTTGACAGAATTATGCCCCTTTTTCGACTTAGAATTTATGTTAAAGTTTTTGTAATACCTCAAATATTTTCAAAGTTCATTGACATATGGCTTTGAAACTTTGCACACTTGTTCACCATCATAACCCCAACTTGTAGACAGGAGGAGGTAACTCTATCAAGCATTTTGACAGAATTATGCCCCTTTTTCGACTTAGAATTTATGTTAAAGTTTTTGTAATACCTCAAATATTTTCAAAGTTCATTGACATATGGCTTTGAAACTTTGCACACTTGTTCATCATCATTACCCCAACCTGTAAACAGGAGGAGGTAACTGTATCAAGCTTTTTTTTGACTATCAACCACTAAGAATAGTCGAGCGTTGCTGTCCTACCGACAGCTCTTGTTTCAGTAAACTCTGTAAAGCAATATTTGTGTAAATATTCATTGTATTAGAGTGAAGGAATGCTATTCTATGAAAGCTGTGTTACATATTTGATGTCATTATCAATAGATTTTTTGTTTCTACAGTTCTGTATAAACATTAGAAAAAAACAACAATAACAATCTTTTATCTTATTGCTTTTGTGTTGTTGTTTTTTCAGTTGGTATTTTGGTCCATTGTCAAGAGAAGAAACAAATGAGATTTTGGATAATGTTCATACAAATGGAGTGTTTCTTGTGCGTGAAAGTCAGTCCATTAAAGGAGATTTTGTCCTCTGTGTAAGGTATGAGTGATAATTGATTTATAAATGTTTATTGATAGAAATGTATCTAAGGATTATAACATGATACTTTATAGGGCCTTTTTCAACTCGGGGCTCACAGGTGCGTTTTGAAAATTTAAGGAAGACTTAAAAGATAAAATATTTAAAAAATCTTCTCAGAAAATATACAATACCCAGATTTTTGGCATGTAGGATCACCTTGTTGCCCTTTACAAGTATGACATAAATTAATCATGCCCCTTGTGTTAATATTGGTCCACACTGGAGGTAATTTAATTATAAAGACATGTATAGGAAAACAAATTTTACTCCTGTTGAAACTACAACCCCTATACAAACATATTTAATATGAATCATGGTACTTTAATGACAAATTGCCTTACTGTGTTAAATTGCCCTGTTCAATGAGATTGAATTGTATTGCAATATATTGCCATTTTTGCGTATTGTTGTGTATATGTTTTGATTTAAAGATGGGGTAACATTATATATTATTATTATATGTATACATTCTTATTAGAAACTTAATTAAATTTTAAGGACTAAATAGAAAGTAAAGTGTCACACAATTGGATAAACAAAGTAATCGCGGGTGACCTTTCACATCTGGGCCGCTTATGTAATTTACGCGGCCGCTTATTGACTTTGAAGTGTCCTAGTTGTCGGATATTTTTATCTTATGTTGGCACCAATAAAATTCGTCAATTAAAGATTTATACGAAATTTTAAGGCAGTTAATTGAAAATTATGATTTTTAATAAAATACCGGTTTTCCGAAAAAATCGTACTGTGGTACGAATTTTTTTTTCATATTGCAAGATATCGGTTTACCGGTAAACTGTTACACCCTTACAATGTAGGGCCATCATGGCCTTCTTGTTTTAAGATAAATCGGATTATCCAATCTTGTACATGTCACTATGATTGAATAAATGAAAACTGTAATGACATGAGGTAAAAGATCCTTTGATTATTCAAGATGATAAAATTGTGGTGAACTTCTCTTTGTCTTTGAATGATAAGGACCAACAACCAATTTTGTCAACAGACAGCGTTTTGAATAAATTAGTTAAACAAACAGTATATGTTTAATAATAAACAGTATATGTTTAATAAAGGAAAGAAAAAGTACAATATTGAAATAAGATTTAAGATATTGACTATTTTGTTATTATTGATTTTTTTTTCTTGTTTATGTTTTATTCAGAGAAGACAATAAAATCAGCCATTATATCATCAATCGTATCCAGGTTGGCGGGAATGTGATGTTCCGTATCGGAGACCAACAGTTTCCCGATATACCTGCTCTACTTAACTTCTACAAGACGCATTATCTCGACACCACAGCACTTACTGTTCCGGTATTTTATTAATTTTCTATCTCTATAATTATGATGTCACAACAGTAGGAATAATTGTAACTAATTAAAATTGTAGACCACAAGTTAATGAGTCTAATTGGTCTGTTGTCATATGTCTTATAGAATTAAAAAAAAAATGAGTATATTCTGCCAGTTAAGATGGATTTTCTTGTTTTAACCATATTTTTCTTTCTTTGCAAAATTTAGAGACATTGGCTGAACTTTATGGCCTCATAAGTTGCATGTTAGAAATATGATGCATAATGCACATGGAATTAGTTGTACATGTTGCCTGCTGCACAGTAAATGGGCCAATTTTTCAATAATACATGTAATGCAGGCTTTTTCAAACAATATATTACATTTGCAATTACTTTTTTGTGTTTTTACAAAGAACTTACTATAAAGCAAATGTGCCCAAAAGTTTTTTTATGATACCATGACCCAAAATGTAGATACAGACATTTTTATACCCTAAAATTGCCCAATTTTACCTGTAATGTGTAAGCATCTGTTTTCTTGGTGTTTTTAGAATTAACACCACTTTTATCTGTTTTAATTTATCACTTAAATTTTTTTACATGCACATAGAAAATTCAATTACCTTTCCGGTGATATATAATACTTGGTATACATCATCCTGGTTTTTATCATTAAGATGATTTTAGTAAAATTGGACATTTGTAATGCATCAGTTTTTTCAACATTCAGTTGTTAATTAAACTAGTGTACCTTTAAGCAATTGCAAATAAAATAGTACTTTATTGTCTTAATCTAATGAAATATGAATTAAAAACATATGTAAAGGGTTTTCAATACAAATTTTCAAACATTTTTACCACAGTAGGCATTATAGTGGTGGAAAAAAAATTGTGATGAAAAAACTGTAACGTCCGTCCCCCTGTCATAAAATATCCAATTATGAAACAATACTCATAAAAAACAATGTTTCTGGTGCTTATTGATAGTCTTACTATGAAAATGTTACAATAGATTGCCAATTTCTTTGTTTATGAGGAAAAAATACAATAATGAAAAAGTTGTCTGTAACATCCGTCCCCCTATATAAGATGCATACAAAATCTCAAATAAACTGTAACTGAAAAGGGAATTTTATGCTAAACACCAAAGTTACAATGAAAAATGAAGAAATATAAAGAGAAATAGAGGATTAAAATTGTGTATTTGTATAAAAATTATTATTTGTGAACACGAAATTTCTTAATTTTGAATAAAAAACAGTATTTTTTGCTATGAAAACAAAATTATCTACTTTGAAATAAAATTAATATGTTATTTTTAACATCCAGTGGATCTATAAGTTTATTAAGAAAATATTTAAGCTAGTATAAATTTTTTACAAACATAATCTTTTGTTTTTCTGTGTTTTCAAAATAAGGGTACAGAAGGGGACGATGTTACAGAAATTAACTAATGATTCCTTTTTACAAAAATACTAAACTTGTCTTTTCTTATGTTGCATGATAGAGAAGTAGTAAGTTTTGAAACTGTATAGGAATGTTTCACACAAGAATAAAGCTAAGAAATAGAATTAACACACACAAAATCCAAAACAGGATACATAAAAGAGGTGCAAAAATTAGATATGTTGAAAGAATCTTTGTGATTAAATTTAGTCAATAATGTTTAAACATAGATTCTTTAGCCTTAAAAAGTAAACAAATTATCTTTCACAGCCCCTTATAAAACAGTGGGATATGGATCCAACTATATACACACAGATGGGGCTGGCACTTTATTGGAAGTTAACGAGCTGTATATTGGGAGCTGTGTATTGTAGATTGGAAAGTGTGATATATTACAAAACAGTAGGGGTGCCAATAAAGGGTGATGTACATATACCTAAAAACAGTGGGAGGGACTACTATATCTGTTAAAGAAGGCTTTTAGGCCAATTAAGTCAAAGGATTTATTGAATTCAAAATTTTATAGGGTAAACTTTGATGAAGTCAATGAAAAAAGAATCAAAAAAATATAATTAAACACCCTGAATAAATTTGTTTTGTTTTTTTCCAAACTCCAGCATAATTTTCCTACCATTTGAGCCATTTATAATTATTATTGATAAAGTGGAAGAAAATCTTAAGTATTTAAAACTTTAAAGGATATGGTTAGGATTCTTGTAATGAAAAAGTTGGAATAATCGTGAAAATTTGTCTGTAACCCTTCGCAAAATTTTTTTAATCTATAAATTTATTGAATTACATTTAAAAATGAGTTCATAGTTAAGCAGTTCATTTACACTGAAATATTTACACAGAAAACTATTAAAAGTTAGAAATAATGAGCTTATGACACTGAATCATAATGAAATCTTCGGATAATGCTGCTGACTTTTCACATCAATTTCATCAAATCAATAAATTAATTTCAACAATTTAAAATCTAAAAAATTTTAATGAATATTTTTAATTGTTTATAATTTGTGTAATTAGTAATGAGAAATTCAAGCTTGGATATGTCTCAAATTTACTTCACACTGTATCATATTTTTTACAAAGATAAATCTTATTACCGGTATAATTATATCTATAGGTTTTTTGTAAATAATTTCATGTAAAGAAAGGTAACATTGGTATGACATTTTTTTCTTTAACACAGTGTAAATGCATTTTCTGGGAACAAGAAGGATTCATTTATTTCATAAGCAATGTTCTTACTTTATTCCAAACATTTCAATGTTCTTTCAATTGTTAGATAACCAGAAGAAATCTTAAGTCAAAGGTGAATGCAACTTTTCATAGTGAAACACAAAAAGTTAGAAACTCTGTTATTGTCGGGTATATTTATACATTTTTCTCATAATTTGTCCAATTATTTATTGTACTATACAAAGCATATTACTCTTAGAAATGTTATCATTTTAAAATAAAACCAAAAAAGTATGACTTATGAGCTTTGAACATCTTGTGTAACATCTGTCCCCCCAAAAAATGTAACATCCGTCCCCCTGATACAATTCATTTCTGGATTATCTGACAAGATATATACATAAGAAAGTCCTATAATTTCTACAGTTTTATAAGAAATGTGTTTGCATATTTGATTTAAGTATGATTTGGTGTACCTATCCTTGTTTTTTTCTCTTTGTTTCTAACATGTTTGAAAATTTCATTTTGTGGGGAAAATACTGAAAATTTGAAAGCAAATATTTTTATATCTAAGATGAATTTTCTGGAATTTTTTGGTGACATTTATCAGAATACATAATGTTTTGATAAAATTAAGAGAAATAATACAATTTTTATTATAAACTGTAAAATATTCAAACTTAATGTATATCTTTGTAACATCCGTCCCCTACCTACACAGTCCGCAAAAGATGTAATATTTTGAAAAAAAGTATTCAAAAAGTTATCCTTTCTTTCCAAAAATATTGTTATAGACACCCTAAGGTACTTAAAAAAAGCAAATATCACCTTGTATGTTTAACTTTATTTTTTTACTTAGATGCTAACACAACTGACCCATTTACTGTGCAGCAGGCAATGTATCATTCTGTGAAGATATTTCATTGAAGTATATTTTCTAGTGAATGTAAATAAAATTTCATCTGCTTCATTATTAAAGAAATATTATAACCAAACATCTAGTCAGAGATTTTTCAGCTTATAAGTGGTACTGTATAAGTGGTTAAGTTATCAATATGGAAATATTGGCAAATTACGTGAATAGACAAAAATCACTAAAATATCCTCTAGGGTACATATCAACCAACCTGTCACTCAACTCTACCCTTGCACGATTCATTTATATTTCTACACACAAAATGTTTGTTATTTCATTTTGGCAACATTTCGACATGCAGAAATATCTATTTATACAGTATATGTCAGAGGGATATAGCATAGAACGTTTCTTCTGCCAAATTTTAACTTTTGATAACTAGAAGATGCATTTGGTAGTTATTTATACTACTTTAAAGAAAAGTAACATTTTAGTTGACAAGCTAATTACAATTAAGGATAGCTGAATGTTCTCTACAGATATGACCTTTCCCAATTGTATATTTCTCTATTCATATATGAATTAGAAACTTCTAGAATTTTTTTTTTCATTTTATTGGAATTTATACAAAACATTCTTATACAAATACTTCAAATTTAAACACCATACTAATATACTTATTCAATTCTTGTTGTTTTTATTCAGGCCCCAAGAGAGAAAGTAATAACAAAGTATGATTTTCCAGGAAAGGTATGATTAGATGATTTATTTTTGTTCAATAGTTTCTATTTTTCGACTCTCATATGTAGTCTGTATTTGAAAATAAGTCAGATACTCATTTTCAAGCAGTTTTGTAAATATTTGGTCCTGTATTCTTGAACAGTTTTGTTTAGCTTAAATAACTCCTTCAATAATCAATTTGATAAATATTTATTATAATACTACTACCATGTTTTATATTATTCTTAATTTCTTATACAGTTAACATTTCGCAATCCCATACTTTTAGAGAATATTTGAGCCGCGTCATGACAAAACCAACATAATGCGATTGCGACCAGCATTGATCCAGACCAGCCTGCGCATCCGTTCAGTCTGATCAGGACCCATGCTGTTCGCTATCAATTTCTCTACTTGTGATAGGGTTTGAAAGCGAACAGCATGGATCCTGATCAGACTGCGCAGATGTGCAGGTTGGTCTGGATCCATGCTGGTCGCAAACCCATTATGTTGGTTTTGTCGTGACGCGGCTCATTTGTTTTTGCACACTGTTTTCTCTGAAAATTTACTGATAGTTTCTTATTTGTATTTGTCAATATATCTATATAATATATTTAATAGCGGTATTTAAGTTGTACTACTTAACATACCAGTGTATGATTGACAGCTAGTAGATATTTACCTAACATAAATAATTAGTTTTTGCTGTCTTTCCCCTGGAGTTTACCTCATTTTGGGTTAAGAAGTTAAGTACATCCGGGCACAGTCAACAGCCAAAAAATGAACTTTGACAATTACTGCCTTTTCATTGGGAATTTTTTTAAACACCATTTTGGGTAAAAACAAGATATGAAATGGGTTCTTCTAAAGGAACAAGAATATTCTGACAAATAAGTAGCATAAGCTCTATTTTCTGCCTTTGGTCAGATTTTGTGAAGTCAGTGTTCAATGCTACAGGGGTCCTGCTAGCAAACCTTATTTTGTTAACTCATGATATTTTATAGTATCCAGGAATTTCGAAATACAACATAACGATCGATTTACGTTAGTTATATATTGCAAAATATCTGTCAGGGTTATTTGGTTCAAACAAGCAGTAATGATTTTTACCAAGAAATTCCCATATGGTTACTTTGGTCTTGGGTGAAGCTTATCTATAATGGCAGTTTGTTTTATAGTGGCACATCCCTGGATAAGTGAAATAAATATTAAAGAAAAAATAACAATACAAAAAAGAAAAGAAAGAAAAAAGACAGAAAAATATATACATCTTTAGTTTGAGAAATGTATTTATATTCTCTGCTCAAATTACTCATATAATTTACATATATTTCCAGGACCCTGAAGATTTACCATTTAAGAAAGGAGAGATTCTTATCATAATTTCCAAAGATGAAGAAAAATGGTGGCATGCCAAGAACAAAGATGGTCAGACAGGACAGATTCCTGTACCTTATGTTACAATAGTAAAGGTAAGTTCTAGACACGGGACAGGTTCCTGTACCTTATGTTACCATAGTAAAGGTAAGATTGTAGTTTTGTGTAACAGATATTAAAAGATGTCCGGTGCCCCTTGTACATTACTTCATGCACAAGGGGGGTAGAACCACCTACTGTAAAAGGTTAACTTCACATAAAAAAATCTAATGTCTGTGACCAGATTGGAATCCACAGTGGTGCGAGGCTAGTAAATTTAATCAGTGACTTTCACCTCATGGACCAGCTGGCCCCTGTATCAAAATGTAACAAAATTCTTGCCTTATATCAAATAACAGTATAATTTTATTTTCGTTTATCAAATTTAATGATTTCGTGTAGAATTGGGCATTAGCAGACGTATTCAATAAATGTAACTAATACAAAATGACAGGAATTCGATATTTTGTTTAATACATACACAATTTATGTTGATAAAAGAGAATACTTAATTTGGTACTTGTTAAAAGTACAGGATATTACATTTATACAGATATTGTTAAAGTTGCACATTATATACAGAGCAATTTAACATCTATAGTTTTACTGAATAGGAATGTTACTATCATAGCTTATTGTCAGACGTTAATTTCAGGACGATGATCCAAGTTTATTGCAATTAGATGCACACAACCAACAACACCAGCAACATCATGTAGAACAACAACAACAACAAAACCAACACACCACAGATCCGTCTCCGGTGAGTAACTATTCTCATAATTGAGCCGCTTCACGACAAAACCAACGTACTGCGTTTGCGACCAGCATGGATCCAGACCAGCCTGCGCATCGGTGCACAGTCTGATCAGGATCCATGCTGTTTGCTAGCAAACCCTATAACAAGTAGAGAAACTGATAACGAACAGCATGGATCCTGATCAGACTGTGCAGATGCGCATGCTGGTCTGGATCCATGCTGGTCGCAAACCCATTATGTAAGTTTTGTCATGACGCGGCTCATATATTTTGCTGGTATCCTCCATACAATATGTCTGTAGACAAGTGGTGGCTCTTTTAATTCTTGTTGGTTGAATTTTGAGTCCTGTACATTAAATTTATTGTTTAGTGATGACATTGATGTGTTTCTTCTTCATGAAAACATTTTGAGGAAATGAAATTATGAAGGACGTAAGGTAAAAATTCAGTGAGAGAAACAGACTTATGTTGGTATTTTTTAAAGCAGAAATTGTCAGTCTGGATTTAGTTATTTTGCTAGCAAATCGTTATTTTTGAAGAACTACTACTTGTACTTGTTGAAACAGAAGTAGATATATTTAAGAGGGTCTACTTTATCCTTTTGTCTTAGTTGTCTGCTTGAACATGTTCGCTCATTGCCTATTTATAAATTTGTCTGTTTGCCATTTTTTTACTGAATCAATATTTATTCCTGTTTTAATTTACTGGTAACTTCATGCAAGCATTAGAGGAAAAGGGTATCCTATTTTTTAAGGTAATGGAACTAAAGTAGCAGAAAGAAGTAAAAATACTCCAAAGGTCAAAAATGATGACAATTGGTATAAAAGTTAGAGGACACATGTTCAAATATTGTAGGATACCTGCAATCACGATTTCATAACATGCAACAGCTATAAAATCCCGAAAACAAGTACTGACCAATATTATCAGGCACATCTGTGCTATCACATTATGGTCTGCACTGTTCTCTATTAGTAGTAATTTTGAAAATTTCCTCTAAAAATTAGAAATATTTTAGTCAAAAACAAAAGATTGATGAGCATATTTAAGATATCTGGCTTAAGTAAGTGTTAAAGTAACACTGTGGTTAATGTCAGTGTGTTTATGCCATTCATCCACTATAAATATTTAAAAAAAAAACAAAAACAAAAAAACAACTTTTAGTAAATGGGATGACTATGTACAATGCTATGAAACTATGTAAATTAATATTATTCATGAATTAATTCTGAATATTTATTTTATTCACTGGATCTACACTGTGTAATTCTTGTTATATTACATTTCAGCCATCATTAAGAATGCCTAAACAATTACCTGCCAAAGCAGTAGTGATTCAAACAAGAATACCCAGTCTATATGATAAGACACAATTACGATTAAATGTAAGTACCAGTCTATATGTTAGAATTTGGAAATAAATGTAAATTCCTGTCTATCAAAATCTATTTCCATTCTAACACATAAAGAAACCTATATAGTTGTACTATATATTTGGTGGTTAAATTTATTTTCGCCTCAGAGTTTCTAATAGCAACATTCTTTAAAGACTGTTCCAGTCAGTTGAAAGAAAAAAAAAAACTATCATTAAATCTACCATTTCCACAAACATTTTGAAAAAAATTGATAAAGAAATTTTATGGTATGTTTAGTTAATTTATTGTATTCTTTCTTTTTCAGGAAGGTGATGTTATAACTGTAACAAAAATTAATGCTAATGGACAATGGGAAGGGGAGGTAAATGGGAAAGAAGGATTCTTTCCCTTTACACATGTAAAATTTCTGGATGATTCGTAGTGTAATACAAGTCTCTCGTTTAATCGTTAAAGTATATCAAGAGATAGGAAAAAAATTGCTAGGGTATTTTACCACCATGGTTTTGTTGAACTCTACGAAAGCAAAACAACTGGAAATATCAAGAACTTCAACGGCAATGGAGTGGACAAGAAAAATTTAAATGGAATTCAATTTTCTAGAAGTTTTTAAAATGTAAACCATTATGTTTTCACATGAAAAAAATATATATATACAGAAATATTGTTTATTTGGTAAGCTACAAACAGGGGTCATACTGCCAGATTCTTTTAAGGTCATTTTGTTCAAATTTTTAGGATGAGAATGTAAAAAATTGTTGTTTGGGACTTAACGAGGGTGTATCATCATGTTACAGGCATTTTCAAGAGAGTTTTTAACCATCACTTAAGTTTGTTTTAACTCATCATTTGGAAAAAAATATTTTTATGGGGGTGGGGGGGTTGGGCTTATCATGTCTTTCATTATAAAAATGGTCTTTAAAGATGTGTAAGTGTGACCCCTGTGTGAAGCTTAAACTGAAATATGAAATTATTATTTCATGCTTACTGATATGTTCATTTATCATCAGTAGACATTGTATGTGAAAAATTCGAATTTAAAAGTATTGCTTTTTTTAGTTGGGGTTGGGCATAGGGGAGGGTAGAGGGGACTTTTAGGGACTGGGTAGAAAATGGGGGTTAAGAGAATTGTTGAATAACGCAGAGTATTTTCAAAAAAACATATACAGATGTTTTATGTATTGTATTCATTCATGTATATGTATATAATTATCTAAGCATGTTGTGTGTTCTTAATGTAAGTTTTGCTAGACTGGGTCCGATTTATTTATGTTGAAAGTGCTAGAATTGATTTTGTATATTTTCTGTGCATACTTTTAATGAAAATACTATGCTTTGAACATAATCTCCCTTTTAAAATTAGAAATAAGCCAGTTTTAGGGAAAGAAAGTCAGTTTTAGGGAAATTAACTGACAGCTTATTATATGGCATTATACATACATAGATTTTTTCTTTACAACTATATGTTTAACTAATTATTCATCATTTATTTCTTATTGACAAGTTTTCTGTTGAAAAGAATTAATTTCATATATTAAAAATAAAATTTTGATTTGGATATGACATTATTTGTTAAACCAATAAACTACCTTAAGAAATTTACCTAGAGAAAGGTCATGTTAATGAAATTTATTATACACTTATAAATGAAAAACTGAGAAATTTTGTTGAAATCAAATGCATATTTTCATTTTCTGTATTTTCATTGTAAAAATTGTTCACTGTAGTGGAACATATTTTCCATATTTTCACTGGTAAGACTACTAACTTCTAAATTCAGCCAGTACACAAAATTAAAGAGGGTGTCTTTCGAATTGTAAGGTCAGTAAAGAGAAAAGTATAGAATCTACAGAAAATTATAGTTTTTGTCTATAAAAAAACTACTTGAATTTTCATCTCTTAGTATGAAAATTATCATATGTAACTTGCGGCTTTTGCCACTGATGAAATATGTATTTTCATACCACCCAGTGAAAATTAATCCTGTATTTATAGAAAAAAAACTTGAATATTCTCTATTTAATCTAATTATAGAAAATACACAGGGTACAGGGGAAATGTGTTCATTAACCATACTAGTTTACCTGCCGAATTTTTCTGGAATGACTTGTCCAACTCTAATTTACCAATTACCAGGGTTTCTTGATTAATAGTTTGACCATCACTTGAGCAAGGTGAGACTTTACACACAGTATGTTCAGGCTTGCTTAGCTCAATAGAGAAGGAAAAATGAGATACGCAACAAGTAGTTTCTATGTATTACAACTGACATAATCAGATGGAAGATCTGTAAAATAAATGTGTTAGCCAAATTTAATGAACTTGTTACTTACCTACTTACTAGTGTTATGAAAACAATAATAGTATACCTATCACAGGCATTTATAGTCATGACAACCTGCACAGTGGCCCTGTATTACCATTCTAGTAGCTGTATTTTATTTGTTAAATGCTGATTTCCCTTTTACTTTTAATGAACTGCTCCAAAATTAAAGCTGTGCAAATCCATTGAACAGAAATTCGGCATGTTAACGGTTATTATACAACCTTCATAAAAACATCAGTTTTTTACCTTTATCTTGCTTGAACCAAAAGGGATTAGGTTTTGTTACAGCATCAGATCATCCATGCAGTATAAAAAAGCTCTACTGTATTAAATTTTTTATTGACTGCTAGGAAGATAATACATGAGAGTCAAAGGCTTTGCGGCTTTGGCTTGCCCGGTTATAGACTACAACATGTATATTTGAAAAGGAAATAAAATACATGAAAAATAAAAGGATTAAAAATATATAGACTTCTATCAGTGAAATTTTCAGTTTCATTTCTAGTTGGGCGTTACCATTTTTAATGTAACTCAATGATAATTGCAAGGTATTCCAATAACAGAACAATCGCAACCTTTTTGGCTTTAGAATTATCGTTGAGGTGTTCTAATTGGAATTTTTTTTTTCTGACTTCCCCGGTTATAGGCTTTGCCTACTTTCATATATTATCTCTGAATAAATGCTTAATTATTCTCTGTGAAATATATTGATAGACCTTCTTAAACACTGTAAAGCTTTATGTTGTATTTTTATGTGACGAAACTAGATAAGAAGTGAATTATACTTCACATTTGCTGGTTTAATGTCTGAAAATAAGTCGGGTATATAAAGAAATTCTGGCTAGTACATATGACAGGCAAGTCTTTGTGTTTTACATTTATATTTCCTATAATTTATATAATTCCTCGAATAGGTTGGATGAATTTCTGATTTGGTGTGAAAGTGTTTGACCGTGCAATCAAATGGTTATTTTTAGACCAAACGGTAGTGCATAATTATTGTATGTTAAATCAAATCGTAAAATAATTGTTGTTGATGTTTTTCCAATATTTTAATATCAATTTATCTCTATAGCATGCCATGAAATATGTTTCATTTACCCTTAAAGTGCTGGAATCGAAAGCATTAAACCTTTGCCACTAGTATAGAGCCAGGCCAGCCTGCACATCCATGCAGTCAGACCAACGCTCTATACTGTTGGCTAACAAACTTTAAATATTCAAATTGATATGCCTAAAATTGATAATGGACTGTTCCAAAAATGGAAGTGGGACAAGTCCATTTACAATATTCAGCATGTTCAGGGTTAACTTTAAAGGCACATTAAGCATCAGAAATGAAAATATTTTTTTCTTCTTAAGAGAAAGGATAAACATATGTTTCATAATGTGAATTGATTGTAAATAAGGCATTTTTTGGGCATATTGCACCTTAAATAGTCAAATAGATTATCTTTCCTTGACTGTTTTGAATTTCAGGATATTTTTTTTACATTAGCTTTCAGAATATAATGATAACAAGTTTTGTCAGATAACATGTTTTATCATAGATATCCATATATGAAATCTGTTACTTTCATGTGTTTAAAGATATGTACCTGCTGCAAAAATTAAAAAAAAAAAATTTGAAAAGAAAACTTCTTAAATACCTGTATGAAATTAATATGTACGTATATTACATGTACCTTTAGAGCAAATGTCACATGCACAAAGACATAAATCAAGGATTAAAAGTCGACTTTCAATAGCAGCATAGTATTTAGTTCCGGAAAATTTTATTCTGTTAACAAACAATATTCATGTGTGTTAAATAACAGCAATATTCTATGTTACGATTCTTTCGAGAATCTACCACAATATCATGGGAACAACATATTTTTACTGTTGATAAAAATATTTCATAAGATATAGCTCTATACCCTTTTAAGATCTGAAAAACTAAATTTTTGTATTTCTAAGAATGAACTGTATTATTTACTGTTGACAAATTATGTGTACTTACATAAGAAATCTTGATACACTAATATATATATTTTAATTTACGTTTATGTCATCTTAGAATAGAATGAACTCTAGTTGACTGTTGAATTTACACAATGTTTATGTTTTTCTAGTTAGCCCTATATAAGCTGTATTTATTTTACTATTCTGTTTGACACTGTGTTGCCATGTTGGCACCTTTTTGTCTTTAGTGTTTAGCTGGCAAGTGATACTGGCCTCTTTATTTATATATTTTAAAATAGACTTCTCTGTTAATTATAATTTTGTATCTTAAATTGCTTTGTTGCTTATAAGAAAAGAGGTGTTATCCACTAGTATTAATTTTGTATGACTATGTATCGAGGGTGCTACACATCACTGAAATAACCAAATGAACGCAACGTTTAAGTTGAAGTGGTGTTGCAACACAACACTACATGTATAGTAACTCAATGAACTTAAGGATCAGTGTCCACACAACATTATAGTAATTAAGTGAATGCAACGTTCAAGTTACAGCAGCCTTGCAACACAACACTATAGTATGTAAATGAACTTCAGGATCAAGTTCAGGTGTTATGCCAACACAACATTTTAATAAGTGATTAAGTGATGGCATTGACAAACTTATCACCATAGTAACTGAAAGTATGTAAAGATAAAGTTAGGGAATTGTCAACACATCATTACAATATCTAAATAAATGTTCATGTTACTGCAGTGTTGCAACACAACACTATGGTAACATAATGAACTTCAGCATCAATTAGCAAGCATTGTCAACACAACATTTTAATAGCTAAATTAATGTAAAAATCAAGTTATGGCAGTGTTGAAACTTCACTAAAGTAATTACATAAAAATTGCCGATCCAGTTGCATGGCAGTGTTGCATCAGTCCCTCATATTTTATACATTTTATAGATGACTTGGTTTGTATGAAGCATTATTTGTTAAAGATTTGATGAGAATATATTTTGATACTTTTTTTTTATTATTAGATGTTACTGTTTGCTTTAAACAATCTACCTTGTTTATGACACTGGCTGTTATTTAGTGTCATGTCTTCCAGGGAAAGAAAGGTCCACTGTGTGTCAAATTTGATTTAAAAAAAAATCAAAACTGAAGTAAGTTATTCCTCTTTACTAACCTGTATGACTTTATTAGGTTAGGAATATATATGAGCGTATATTTTTACTTGACCATCTTTTGTCAAAGGTGAAAACTAAACATAAAAGGGAATCAGTTTTACAGTTATAGTTAAGTTGGGGTGGGGGAGGGGATGAGGAAATATGTTTAAAAATTTTTGTCAAGAAAATTATTTATATACGTATAGACTAATGAATTTTTAATGCTTAAATCTTGTTTTTTAAGCAATATAATTTCAGATTCAAAATTGTTTGCTAAAACTTAAAAAAAAGAGAGTTAAAATCATGTTGTAATAAGATGAACTGTGCTCTGGTAAATTCAATGTGGCTTACTTCCGTGATCCGGATTGTAAACTACCAATACCACTACTGCATTGTACAAAATTATCATAACAT